GTATGTTCATCCTGTACTAACAATGTTAAAAATTTACACCAGAACCATATAAAATTCATCTCAATGAAAACACCTAAATCTAGGATTATTTAAATATGGCAATTTAATAAGATTTATGTTTGTTTTCCCTGAAAATATATTATTCCCTTCAAGAAATAAATAACCAGCAACTATAGGTTTTTTGAAGAGGAAATCAATGTGGTTTCTGTTTGTAAATCACATATTTTCAATTACCCTACCTGTTTTCTAGATAAACATTTTTTTTGTGTCTGTGATTGCAGAATTCTTATATCCATTTTTAAGTATGTCAAGCACAGTCTGGTAGCAAAATTGGATCCCAGAAGAGGGTGAAATAAAGTGCAGTTAAATTTTCTTGGTTGTTATACAGACTTCATGTGAAAGAGGAATGAAAACGTATGACGTAGAACATTTAAATTTATAGAGGTAGTAGTAAAGAATAGGCATACAGCCATTACATGTTTTCTATATACTAATCATTAAACATCTTGAAAAAAAGGCACATTGTAAAGCATATGGGAACATATTAAACCAAAGCTTTGATATACTAACAGAATTAAAAGATACTACTTTTTCTTACAAAAATCCCAAAATTAAAGTATACCTCTAACTGGTATCTGAGCCTCCTCTTCATACTGGGGAATTTCTGGCTCTTCCTCCTCATATTCAGGAACTTCTTCATAATAAACAGCTTCTTCTTCATAATGTGTGACTTCTTCGTCTTCATATTGAGGAACCTCTTCATACTGAGGAACTTCCTCCTCATAATGACTAACTTCTTCATAATGGTGGACTTCCTCTTTGTAATGGATTACTTCCTTCCCATATCTGGTTACTTTTTCCTCTTCATATTTTGGAATCTCTTCTTCCTCTTCATACTGAGGAACTTCAACATACACTTTTTCTTTTCGGACAACTGTCTTGCGTACTTCAGGCACTTAAAAAGATATTAAGTTGGAGAATCTTAAAATCTAACACATAAATCTTACTAATAATAAGAATCACAAGGCATTGCCAAATAAGAATTAAAACACAGGAAGAACATTCCACAGAAAACAAATCAGTATTCACTGTACATGGAACATACAAGACACAAAAAAACCACATTTATAGCATACTTCAATTCTCTATCCAGTATACCTTTGGCTGGTAGTCTTGCCAGTTTTTTAGGAGGATAAGTTCTTTCTTCTATGATAGCCCTCTCTGGTACATCAGGCACTTAAAAGATACAGTATATTTACGTTTAAGAATTGTTAAAAGTATTGTTTCAAAGGAAAAATATTCTTGCCAAGAAACAAAGAAACATGTGAAAGACAAGTGTGCTTATTGACACTGGACATATAATTATGGAAGCCATCATGCTGCTTTTCAATTAAATAACAACAAACATTTCAAGATCCCAGTATAAAGAGCTGAAATAATTCCTACTTCATCCATTGCTGACAGCAGTGAAGTTAAACTTGCTGAAGGGCAGAACTCAAAATCCAAATTCATCAATCAAATTACAAAATCATTAAATCCCACTGTTCTCTGTGACAGCCCTTCTCCAGGGCAGTGATACTTTGCACTACCTCAGTAATAGCTCAAGAGTCCTGAATCACTGCTAACAAAAGTTCTGTACAGTAAACTGGAGATGAAGATGAGAGAGCACATAGAGAAAACCTTGGGAGTTTACCCAAGGTTACCCCAAGTTAGGTTAGTGTTTACCTAACAATAGGTAAAAGCTCTGGTCTAACTAAAGGCAAAAGAATTGCTTGCTTTCTCTTCTGTTGATTGCTTTACAAAGTAGCGTGCTTGCTCAGGCATAGCAAGGAACCATGCCCTATAAGAGCAGAAAAGCTTCCAAAAGATTAAGGTGTGAATATGTTCAGTTTTTATTCAGGAGAGAATAGACACTATGTTTAAGCAGCTTATTATCTTTTTCAGAACAGCAGTGCATGGGTCTTTTCTTCTGAGGAGGCATCTCGGGAGAATTTTCCCAGTATAACTGGAAACTGCACAGAAAATTACTCTATTTTGATCTTCTCAAGAGAGAGAATCCATTCTGTCAGTGACAGATTTGAGAATTTCAACAACCTTTCTTCACGATAAGTTACATGAGTATAGATGAGTGGCTACCACAAGTCTTGATGCTTGCAAAGTGGGTGTTGTTTTAGGGGGTAATGTGAAGACTGACCAGCTCTTCAAATATTTTCTGGCAGAACCCTGCTTGATATTTAATTGTAAGTGTCAGGTACACCTGCATTTGAAACCTTAAACTATACCTGACTGGATCTGGTATCTTTGTTTGAACTGATTACAAAAACTGCATTGTGCACGCATGCCTTTGCCAGGAAGATCAGGTTCCTTTGTTTTCTTTTGTCCTAGCTACAGCACTTCTACTTGGTATCCCATGGGAGAACTGTTGCATTTAATGTCTTTCTGCTTTGAACTTTTCCAGACCAGCTGGCATATTAACTCCCTTACAGAAAGCCAGCCAAAGATCCTCTTCCATCATTCTCTTAGTACTCATGATCTTCCTGTTCCACATAATTCTCCAACAAACAGATTATTTAACTTCACACTGATATGATTGTATTAATCTTTCATTATATTAATATGATAATGTTTTTTGTCAACAGCAGCAGGTCTGAAAGTAGTAAGCATGAGGCATCTTCTGGGTCATTTTCCACAACTGAATAAATTCCCTCCAAAGGTGATAGAGCAATGCATTTTCTTTAAAAGCCATGGACTTTGTCCAAAGCCCTTAAGCTGGCAGGTCCAATATATGGTATTGTGCTAAGTGTCACAGACAGTCAAGCAACAGCAGAGGTAAAGGTTTTTTCTTTGACTTTCAGATTTAGGTGAAGAATTGATGTCATGGAACCGGAAAGGACAGGGTTTCTTTTCAGGAGAGGAAAAGGCTGCCCTGTTTACCCTTAGAGATCAGACAGGTGACAATATTTGCAAAGTAGGACCTAGTGAAGTGGTTGGGCTTCCACTACGGCAACAGTAAACCAGGTTGAAAGATTTAAGCTTCTTGTGAGAATGGAATAGTGTCCTGTGGTATTATACGAACAACTTTCAGGATAAACTGGTGATCTGCACAGGACATGAAATTGTGTTTTGTTTTCTTTTGTTTAGTATTGTTTGTGTATGTCTTAGTGGGTTTTGTTGTTGTTGTTGTTCGTTTTGTGTTGGTTTTTTTTAAGTAGATAACAAGATGTAAATTTGGACATAGAATCTTTTTAGTCCATTCATACCTGTGTATGAGATCTCCTTTTCCGTGTGAAGAGAAACAGATACTTCCTCCGACACAGCCCAGTGTTCTTCTTCTGTTAGTACTTCAAAGACAGAATCTAGCATTAATATTTTTCTCTGGATTATTATAATGTACAATAATAAATATCCCATTTAGGGGTTCTTAGAAAACTAGTTATTATTTTCTGACACCTCCCAAAGCCAGAGCAATTGGAAAAAATATGCATCTAGTGTTTCTCAGGCTCTGATAATGTTCCCTTGAGACTATGGTGGGACATACTGGTGGACTTGCCAGTGTCAGGTTAACTGTTGGACTTGGTGATCTTAAGGGTATTTTCCAACTTAAATGGTTCTATGAATCTACCATTAGAACTTCAAGAAAGGTGCCAGACCAGCAGGCTTGAAGCTTTGGTGGTACTGCATGAGGGCAGTGTGTTCATAGGATAATCCATGGGCAGGAGTACCTTCTGGTGGTGGAGACACTTTTCTTTTTGGAACAGCAATGGAAACTCTTTCTTCTCTGGCAAGTTTCTTTGGTTCTTCTGGCACTTTAAAGATAGTAATTGCAAGAATTATAAAGTAAAAAAAAACGACACACTCTCTGAAGTTCATACAAAAGAATTACAGACAAACAATTATGGAGAAATAGTACACTTATAATGGATACAACAGTAACACCAGCTGTACAGATGTAAAGACACATAAATTAACAGAGAAAATCACAGAGGAAGCTTTAATGCATAGTAGGTAGATATGCATTATATATTTTTAAGATACCTTTTTGGGGGAGCGGAGATCTAGGAATAAATTCTGCATATAAATTAGACACTTTGAAACACTTTGCAATTTTAGTAACAACACAAATATAATTTAACATTAAAAAATCTACTAAAGTAATACATACAATATTAGAAGAATAGATATATAGACAAAACCACATCAAAACCAAACAACATATTCACATATCAGGAATTAAGACGGAATGATTAAGATGAAAGGAAGATGCAAATAATTTGCCTCCTGGCCCTTTATAAACATAGTTAAACCACAGGACACCACATATACAGGATACATAACAAAATCACTTCTCAAACACAAGAAAATCAAAAAACCAGAGGAAATATTTGTAAGTTTGAAACCCTTCACTGAATATTGACAATGTTATAAAACATTAATTTTTTTTAATCTAAATGCATTAATATTTATTTAACTTCTTCACTGGGTAAATGCGTTAACTCAGCTTTCCAAAGCACTTAAGCAGCCAAAGTAATCAATGAAGTTAAATAGCGCTAGAAAATTCAAGGAATGAAGGCGTGTGGCTCTTCTCTGTCACCTTCTGCATTTTTTGCAGGGGAGAACACAAAGGTCCTTTCCATTTATAATCAAGTCAGTGAAGACTGGGATTTGGTTAACCAGAAACATTGTGTGTATGGGCATCTGATATTTGGAAGCCTTCTGTGCTTTCAAACAAACTTGTGTACCTTTTGCTGGTGGACCTGCCACTTTTTGTGAAAAGGGAACAGGTACTTTCTCTTCTGGCACAGGCTTCTTGGGCAAAGCTGACATTTTGTTAAAAAAAAAAAAAAAGTATTTAAAATGATTTTGAATCAATCACAATTTATTAACATAATCAGATGACAAAACAAAAATGCAGGGACTTGACATTTTTCAAGTCAAATAAAAAAAGACAGCAAACACTGAACATTACAGCTTGTGTTAAACAATTAGATATTATAAAATCAGTATTCTTGAAACAAGACTTCTATTGTGTAGCACTGAAAAAAAGATATACCTCTTTTTGGTGGAGCCTCTTCTTTTTTAGCAACTGCAACTTTTTCTTCTGTGATAATTTTTCTGTGTACTTCAGTCACTTGAAAATAATAAGTGTAAGGGTATTTAATTGCAATATTTGAACTATTTTTCTATTTAATCTGATCTTTTTAAAAAGAAAATGCTATGTAAACTTCAACAACAACAGACACTGAAGAAGACTGTATTTTACAGTCTTACTGCAAAGATGAGCAAATAGTCAAAAGAAAGGGGAGATCCAGACATAAGTTACAGATAGTAACAAACACAAATTTATTTAAGTAAGATGACTAAACAGAAATGCTGCAAGGCCAAACAAAAAGTTTTCCATGATAATAATATTCTCAGTTTGTTTACCTTTTGTTGATGGAGGTTCTTCAACTTCTATCTCAAAAGTGGGCACCTGTTCTTCTGCAGGTTCTTAAAAAAGATTGTGCAACTTTAGAATACTTGATTGATTTCACAGACAGTCATAGGATAAAAGATGAAATAACATATAAATCTCATCAAGACGACACAGACCAGAGACCACATTGTAGGCAAACGGACATAAGTACATGTATAATGCTGAAGAAATTTGATACAAAAAATATATTTTAATCAACATGCATATATGTTAAAGATTTCATTCATTTTAAAAAAATAAAAGGAGCTTTTTGCAACAGGAAAAAAACACTGGTATACCTCTTGGTGGTGGAGCCTCCATTTTTTTAGGCACACGGACAGGCACTTTCTCTTTAGGAGCTACTTTCTTACGAACTTCAGGAACTTTAGAAAAATGAGTAAGATAAGAAGGAAGATAAGAAAGAATATTAAGATGCAATATTTTTCATTGCTTACAACATCACAATGTGCTTTCCTGAGTTAACACAAACAATACTTGTCACAGTACAAGATGGAATTTCAGACAACCATTCATCTCTGTAAGCACACACCAGCCATGTCAACATGTAGAAACAAGACAGTAAATCAAACATATTTTCCTTGAAGATACATCACCCAGATGAGGAACTGATTTGTACCTCTAACTCCTGGAGCTTCCTTGGGGGCAGCTGGAACTTTTGGTTCAGGGACAAGTCTCCTGTGCTTCTCAGGCACTTTAAAAGATTACAGTACATGGATTTACAAAGAGTAGTAAAACTAGAACAAACACACATTTCCTTAATACTAAAACCACAAATGGAGACAAACGTAGTGGCAACATAACGCTCAGAATGATGGAACAACCAATATTTTGTAAGGAAAGGAATGTATACCTTTAGTGGGCAGGGCTTCCTCTCTTTTAGGAACAGTTACCCTCTCCTCTATGTAGTAAGACTCTTCTTCAGTCACTTAAAAAGAGTAAAGTTAAAAAATACTTAAGACCTATTACTGTCTTTATGGCCCTTTAAAGCAATAAAATATTTGTAAGACAAGAATAAGCAGTATGCATTGCTAACAGACAACTCTGCTATTACAAAATCTACATTCAAACCATCCTGCTCCCTCTGAAGGCAAAGGAAAAACTCCATGCAACTTAAATGGAACTGAGATTGAGCTGCTATCTTGTAGTTCTGTATCATTTGAAAACAATCAGTATTTGAAGTACTGGATCAGCACTTTCCATTCTTCTGTCCACTAGTTCACCAGTGTTGTAATCTGTACACTTTCAGAAAACCTCTCTTCCAAATACCAAGAAAATTCCTTGACTAAAGCCACCCCTTGAAAATATTTTCCATGGTGTCATTTGATTCAATGGAAGTTGAGTCAATCAATGTATGTTACTGTCCTTCATAGCATTATGATACCACCAATAAACTCCCAGGTAAAAACAATATAGTAATTTTATGATTAAATGGTCTCAGGAACCAAAGTGCACCATGATATTCTGAAGGACATTTACTTCATCCAAGCAACCTGGTGGAAGAGGAACTTCCAACAGAGAATTTTTGTGAAAATAATAAAATAACAAAATTAAAACAAATAAACCCACAAAAAAAGAAAAAAAAAGGGCTGATAATTCTCAACATCCAAGAGATACCTCATTATTTTCACTGTATCAAAAAAAAAAAGGCAAAGTAGAAATTGTAGGCATTATTAGCATTAAAATTTATAAGATATGAAACATATTTATATAGTTGTAATTTTTTGTTTATGAATAGAGTAGACATTAATCCACAGTATATTTGGTACAAAACAAAAATTATTTTTTTTGCTTTTGCCTAGCATTCTTGAACTGTGGTCATACCTTCAGAAACCTCTTCTCTGTGAACGGAAATAGATACTTCCTCCATTTCTTCTTCAGACCATTCTTCTACTGTTGGTTCTTTAAAGAAAATTACTAGTTTTAGTATTTTTGGTGGATGGATGGATGGATCAATGGATGGGTCAATGAATGGAGAAGATTAAGACCAATTCTTAAAAGTTCTATATGACAATGACAGATTTGCATACAATACAGAAAGTGCTACGCACACACCCATATGTATGATTTGCTCTACATGATGTGTTTTCCTGATCCCCCTATTATGTGCAGTTGTATCTCTCAAATATCCTTCACTGGCCAATTATCAGTCCATCAGAATACCTCAGCTCCCCAAACTTCCCCATTGCAACAGCTGAGGGAAGGGGGGAACAACAGTCAAAGAATTAAAGGTTGCTCCTTGATCTGGCTATGTGAAAGTAAGAAGAGGAACAAGATAAGAAGGGTATGTCAGTATTTGAAAGGAAAGCCTGGCATCTTCATTTCAACAATGGTGACCGTATCAGGAAAACATCAACTTGTTCTGGGGTAAAACATTGATTTGCAGGGGACAAACAGAAATTAACAGTGCACATATCCATCTGAATATATATTTGCATGTTCATATTTTTGATATCTTCCATATCTGCTTTTAAAAACTCACTTATGCTTTTTTAATAGAGTATGTAAATTGTCTTGCCTGGCTAGTTATTAATGGGATATAAAAATGGCCAAAATGTTGATTTCAGCTATGCTGAAGCAGACATATTTTGGAATTATACTAACTTAAAACAATTGAACTCAACCTTTCCTGAGTAGGAGAATGCAAGCTAAAAGAGCTGGTGAGAAACTAACACTGGAAAGAGAAATAGTATTGTTATCTGCAGGGCTACAGAGAGCTTTGTAGGGAGCAAAACAAATGGATGGTCACAGTCCTAAATGGCAGAGTCTGAACTCAACACTATACATCCATATTTCTTCCTATGATTTCACGAGAACCTGATCCCAAGGTCACTGTATTCAGTAGTAGAGTTTTCATTTGTGTCAATAAGGTGGGATTGTGTCATTCAAGACTAATATGGTAAAAGACATTCAGGAAGCTCTTAACTACTTGCAAATCTGTCAAATTTTCAACACAAAACTTATACAAGAAAACTAACATGAAACTTTTGTGTATTTTGATCTGATCCTAGAAAAATAAACTTGTAGACAAAGCACAAGTTTCTTATTATTATCTGTTTATAATGTACCTTCAGGTAGTGGGATTTCCTCTGGAATGGCAACAGATATTCTTTCTTCTGTAATAAGAACTCTTTCTTCAAAAGTGGCTTTCTTCTGCACTTCAGGCACTTTGAAAGATAATAATATTAAATGTATTCTTCTTTAATTCCATTGTAAAAGCAATGTTGCCAAATGCTAAATCTAAGTTTCCAAAGAATTGCTTAAGGGTTTTGAGCTCATAACACGTAACAGAGATTGAATGTTTAGAAATACTGGTTTTGTACTAATTGCACAACACATACCACATACTGTAACTATTCATTGTCACTAAATCGGAACAGCAGAATTCACAGAAGTACAAATCAATGACGGGTAACAATACAGAACATACAAACAGAAGCTAAGAAGTAGCATATTCTTTTCCTCTACTTGAAAGCATACCTTTAGCTGGAGGAGGCTCAACTTTTTTAGGAACAGCAGGAGATACTTTTTCTTTAGGCATAGGTTTCTTAGGAACTGCAGGCACTTAAAAAAAAGTATTTAGATTTAGGATCTATAAGGTGCAAAACTAGCAGAAGAATCATGTAAGAGAAATATATCTTTCAAAAAGATTACGCATGGACATATTTTGCTTGCAAAAATACAACAGCTTAGCAATCTGAGACAAGTTCAATGTTCTAAAGACTACAACAAATGATATTACATTGAACAACATTTTACCTTTTGCAGGTGGAGCTTCTTCTATTTTAGGAACACGTGGTATTTTTTCTTCTGGAGCTGGTTTCTTAGGTACTTCTGTTGCTTAATTAATATGAATTATAACAACATTAAGTAACTAAAATTACAAGTGTTTTAAGACTGCATCTATAGCACAGTTATCCACAAAAAAAATGACACAAAATATACACAGCTAGTGCAACTGAAGTACAACTAAAACAAGCTGTAGTTAAAAATCAAAGCCAAAACTTGACATAAGATGTTTAAGATAACAAGAAAAGAATGTTAGTTATTTAAGTGTACCTTTAGGTGGTGGAGCTTCCTCTCTTTTTGGAACAATTTTTTTCTCTGGGGCAGCTCTCTTGGGCATCTCTGGCACTTAAAACAGATAAAATACAAGATAACTGAATTCTGTATTTCAAAGATGTATTGAAGTATTACAGAATTTTATTAATCCATTTACAAGAATATCAAGATATGCTACATAACACATTCATACACTTAACATAGAAAGGTGTAGGACAAGAGCAACATACATTTGACAAAAAAAAAACCCAAAACAACAAAACAAAACAAAACTCAAAACCAATCAAACAAAAAACCTAAACAAAATGAACAAATCAAACCAGTCTCTGGAAGCCTAGCAGATTTCTTAACTGAACAAAGAACTTCTCATGTATGTTAACTGGCCTTAAAAGCTGTTCTATATACACAGAGAATTATACATTATTAAAACAATTTATAACACAGACAGTACAGGATAAAAAAAAAATAATTAAAAGATATTCAACAGGAACATGTACACTCCATCACTAAGTATACCTTTGGCACTTGGAGGTTCTTCTTTGGGAACTGGAATGTGTACTTTTTCTTCAGGTACAGGTCTTTTAGGCACCTCAGGAACTTTAAAGGTATTAAAACTTGTTTAAGTAATCTTTCTAAGGCTTTTGAGTTTGTCTTAGATGAGAACAGACATACAAAATACCACAGAAAGACTATATTTAGCATAAGCTTATAGGAGAAGTGAACAGTAGTTAAGGAAAACAGTACAATAGCACAGGACTGGTTAGAGCACATATTGAAAAGATGCTGTACCTTTTGCTGGGGGAGCCACTTCCTTTTTAGCAACAGCAACTTTCTTTTCTGGAACAGGTTTCTTAGGGACTTCAGGCACTTTGGAAAACATTGTCAAAGTGAGAGAGCTTTAGTCTTTGGACACCTTATACAGACTTCAGCAATCCAAGATTGCTTTATAGAACATAGTGTCTGGACAAGAGCTGGCCACAGCAGCACAATACTATGTACAACCTTTTGGACATACAGTGGACTATGTGGAAAAGACGTTACGATACAGTACAAAATTCTGATGTCAACATTACTGCACTATCACCTTTCATGGCATTCTGTTGAAATAAAAACACCATACCATTTTCTCCAAAAGCCGCTCAACATAAATACAAACAATGAGTGCAAGGTTGTTAGGACAAAAGAAGAGCCAAAGCTGAGGCAAATGCAAGCTATAAGCATAAATGAAAAAGTGAAAGTATGGAGATAACTGAAATAATGAAAAATCGAATAATGCATATGGAGATAATTCAAAACCAAAGCCACATAGAGAGTAAATTAATAAATATATGCAAGAAAACATGAAAAATAATATAATGAAAGACAGTTGGGGGAGGGGGTTGTTGTGTTTGTGGTGTGGTTTCTCTTTGTTTGTTTTTTCTTCGGTTTACTAGTGCAATAGAAATACCTTTAGCTGGTGGAGCTGCTTCTTTTTTAGGAACAGGAACAGGCTTTCTTTCTTCTGGAACATGCCTCTTAGGTATCTCAGGCACTTTAAAGAGATAGGTGGTGAACACTTAGGAAACAGCAAAAACATTTGGAAGATCACAGTAGGCTGCTTTCAACACACTGGATAAGCAAACACTATAAAAAAATACGCTTTTTTGGTCAAAGAGATACAACATGCTCATCTCAAGAAAGATATTCAAAGAATTATTTAAAGCAGTGATGAAGAAGAATGACACTTAGAAAAGCAATAGGGTTTCGACATTTGAAAGCAGAGCCAGAGATGGAAAGATCTCAGTACTTATATGCTATTGTTTGGTAAAGAGCTGTACAGGCAGTTAACCTGGAAGTTCAGAAAAATGGAGCACATGATGATACAAAGATTTTATTCACCTTCAACGTGTGGGATCTCCTGTTCTGTAGAAATTACTTCTTCCTCCTCCTCTTCCTCTTCAACTTCCTTACGTGCTACAATAGGAATTTTAAAGAAATTAAATTTGAAGATAGGAAGTATCAATGTTTGTAGTGAATCTGAAAAACTTTTAAGAAGATATTATGTGTCCCCAGTACACAAAGGTCACTAAAACACATAAGCTAATATTAAAAAAAAAGGAAAAATAAATGTGTTTTTTGGTTAACTACAGATTTGAATTATTTTAAAAAATCTCAGATATTAATTAGTCACTTAATCAATCTACCTTCAATTGGGTAAACAGCTTCAAAGAATCTTTCTTCAACTGTTTTCTCACGCTCTGTTGGCTCTTCAAAGAAAAGCATTAAAACAGTATTAAAATAGTTGAAATGTCGACATTTCTTAATCTAAATAAAACCGAGGCTACGTAACACAATGAACAAAGAGAAGCAAAACATAATTGGAAACAAATACAGATGTGTCTAAATATGTAATTTGCCATATGTAACAAAAGATTAAAAGACATCTATTGGAAGATTGATCTGATTTGCGTGCACAGATTTTTGAGTTTGTACATACCTGTGACATATGAATACTCTTCTTGTTTGTGGACAGAAACTGACATCTTTTCTTCTGAAACAGTCCATGTTTCTACTGTAGGTACTTTAAAAATAGGATTTTGTTTTAGTATTTTGTATTCTAGATCCACATTAGTGGTAATCAGCATGTGAGTTCTTACCAAATCTGTATCTGTATTTCACATTTAAGTCTTAGACATATTTAGACAGTATTTATATTCTAAAATACTGAACACAAAACAAGCACACAAGTATAATATTTAGTATCTGTTAAAGAGTAAGACACAGACATCATTAACCTAAAGATATAAAATAAATGCATGCACAGGTTTTTGGAAATAGTGTATAAGAAGACTTGCAATGGCAGTTCTTTAAGGAAACTTTGGGGCACTAGGCAAAAGTTATGCTTATTATATAAGCATAGGCCAGCAGACAGAAGAGATGAAGAAAAAGCTAAATCGCACTGCAATATCCTCTGCGTTGTTTAAACAAGAATCAAAAGGCTGGCCACAAACATATTAAAAACAAACTTTAAGAAAGATAAAGCATGGTACACATACTATTTAAACACTGAGAGTAGTCACAACATGACTAGAACAACAGATCCAGATACATGCACACAGGCCCACATATTCACAAGAAGCACAAGAACACTCAGGGTGCTGCAATTGAAAGATGCCGATCTGTACCTTCCTTTTTCATAACTTTTTCTTCAACAATCATTGGTGTAGGCTTTGGTGGTAGAACTTTCTTGGTAACTGTTGGCATTAAAATTTTGTGAGTCATATATTTAACAAAGATATCATAATTCTAGCAATGATGTTGAAAATACAACAAATGACAAACAACCTAACTCAGTAGCTAAGCTCCTTGAAGCCATGCAAAGCATTAGGTAGAAAGTAGCAATTTTTTACTGCTACCTTCTAAAGAGGCTGGGCAACTCAGAGCATTTAGTACACAGGTTACAGCCTGACATAGACTGAATTGTAGCCAACAGACTCCTGCTGCAGAATGGGAACTCCTAAACAAGAGGAGGTGGTCACCAGGGGAATAAGGATGCATCTTTATTTCATAACTGAAATAAAGGGAATAAAGGTATCTTTATTTCAATTAACCAAGATACCCTGGTAGACAAGTCAAGGCAAAAATCTGCACCCACTTCCTTTCTTAAATCATCTGTGGTTAGCATCTGCATTTAACATTTTTCCATAAAAAGCTTTTCATTTTGCTTTTATGCATTCAGCAGAAGCTTTTATTACGTTTCAAGGACTGAAAAATTTATAAGACCCATGACTGTATGAAGACAAGGCGTATGAATATCAGCTAAGTAACAACAGCCACTACTTTCATGTAAAATGAAAATAAGGTAGTTAAACAGTAGTTACCCTCAGCCCGTTTGACTTTTTCTTCTGCAACCCTCTGAGTAGTTATCTCCACTTTTTCATCGACAGGTTTCTTGACAACTGTAAGTGATTCAAATAGATTTATTATTTAAATAATATTGTAGATCATTTTCTGGACACAAACCAGGTATAATGCTATTTTCTCTTTTAGGATGTTATACACTTTGTGCATACTGTTCGTTGTTCAGCACATCATTCACTAGGGCGAACTTTGTTGGTAAAGGCACTTGTGAAAAAAGTGATAAGGCCTACCCTCCCCTGAGAGATATACAGTGATCTGAATATATGCTTCTCAGAAGTGCAGCATTCACTGGCTCAAAAGCACCACCCAAGCCCAAGGCAAATATAATGTGGGTAGGAAAGATAATGAAAGCTCAGCTTGATTTTGCCAGCAGTTCCTGGTTTGTTTCAACCACCAGTGCCACTATTCTCTTTCTGCTCAAAAACATGAGGGCAGAAGAAGAGGAAATGTTGCCATAAGCCTTACTCATGTCACTGTCCAACATAAAGAGACTTTTCTCCTTTTCAAGGAAATGGGAATAACCAACACAGGTCAGCTTGAAAAAAGATGCATGAGAAATCTTAATATGCATGTTCCTGTTAGTTTTGCAGGAAGGTCATACCTTTATGAACTGTTACTTCTTTCTTTTCCTTCTTTTCAGCTGTAATTGTTGGTGGTTTTCTCTCAGGCACAGGCTTCTTAGGAACTTCAACAACTTTAAGAAAAATAACATTGATGCTGAAAAAATGCAGTCTCAAGGCTTGATACACACAAAAATTATTAGTTGTGCCATTGTAAGTTTATGTAAGTTTAAGAGTTTTGGAGATCCAATTGCTGCAGTAGAATTTTCTGCTCATTCCCAAGTTTGATGGTTTCTCATCAGAGCCAAATTCTGTTCCTCAAGGCATACATGTTACTACCACCCAAGATAGTTAAAGTATGCAAGGAATTATAAAATACAGCTACCAACATCAAGAAATTAATGTGTGAAACTTTTCATCTAAATAAATTTTATGTAGAATGCATGAAAATGAGAAGAAATGTCCAAACCAAGTAAAAAAGTCACATATCCTTACAAACTACTAACTTATATTAGGTTTTAAAGATTAAGCTTAAAAAGTCCATTGCCAACAAATTATAGTGTCTTGATTTCTATCTGCATTTACAACATGCCATACTAAAGTCCTTGTCTGATTATAAAGTGCCAGTTAAAACTTGGAAAATTATTAAGGTCCAAATGTTGTATATAAAAAAAAAAGTAGCAAAAAAAAAAAAAAAAAAAGCTGTCTAGCTCAAAATTTTTGGGCCTTAATAACAAGTATGAAAAAAGAGAAGAAATAGTATAATTAAAATACCTTCTTCATGAATCACTTGTTTTTCTTCATAAATCACTTCTCTTTTTTCATAAGCTTCTTCCCATTCCTCTTCGCCTTCGTCATAGCCTTCTTCCTTGACATAATATTCGTGGTCTTCTCCATAATCTTCTTCCCATTCTTCATAAGGTTCTTTGGGTTGTTCATATATTTCCTTCTTTTCTTCATGAATCTCTTCTCTCCTTGCCATGGATGTTATTTTTATCTCTTTGGGCTTCTCTGGCAGCACCTCAGGAACTTCAAAAAAAAGAGAAAACAGATTATTCATCTCATAGCCTGGAACTTGCAAGGCATATTGGATATCAGCAGTTAATTAAATGATTTCACTTTCACAGTTTAAAGAAGTGTTTAAAGAAGTGACTCTTTTTTAAGCAGTCCTAATCAGCTTGGATTTCAAATATGCATGTTTCTAACCTAAGAACAAAAATCAAACTGATTTGATTGATTCAAGACAATTTAAAACAAATTATGTTGTTTTCCCAAGGTAATGTTATGTTTTTTAAATTATAAAAAAAAGGAAGTTACCTTTTGGTGGTGGGACTTCTTCAGGAACTTTTTTAACCACCTTTTTGGAGACTTTCTTTAATGGAACCTTTTTTTCTGCTTAAAAAAAAAAAAAAAAGGTTTTTTTTTTAGAATTAAAATTAAAAAAACCCAATCAACTGACAGTCATAATTAAACATACGCACACTGTCCAAACAATTCATGTATTCTTACCTGGCTTTTTCTCCTCTGGTGGTGGAACAAGAGGTAGAAGGATAGGAATAGGGGCAGCTTATAGGAAAAACAGAACATATAGAATAAAATATGAGTACAATGCTTTCCTGTAAATGAAAAAAATCCTGCATTTGGAAAATCTGTGCAATGATTTTCTCACAGCATGTTGCTCATTCTGAATGTTTACTGTAAGTGAAATAATATATTTTGAATGGAAATCCACAGTCTACCTTTATTTGAATTCTGACCCTTCTCAGCCTTATTTTCTTTAGTGCCATCAGTCTCATATCTTTGCTGATAGTAATTAATCTAAATATAAATCTTTCCCCTCCTGCTGCTACTGAAAGCATATACCAAGTTACCTGGGAAATGAAACACAAGATATTGAACTTCTAAGGTTCATAGTAAACTTGAATGCAGCAGAAATACACATAATGTTTGAAGTCTATAGGCAAATACCAGAGCCTGGGGAGAGATCAGTCACAATAAAAATACAACCTATTTTACTACTTTAAAAGATTCTCTTCTTTTTTTTCTCCAAAGAGTAGCATTTCAGGCAGCTTGTCTAAAAACTATCTCTTTGGTAGAAAAGAAGAAAAGGTGAAAATAAAGATCAGAAAAGGAAAGTGGAAATAAGAGGAAGATGGAGTGAACAAGAGACTGATAGGAAAACAACAAGGAAAAGACACAATCTTTTTCAGAGAGAAGGCTTCATTCTGACCATTATTTGTGTATAGTATTCTACACAGCAAAACAAGACTATCCAAGCCAAGCCTTACTCATATTATATTTGTATGAAAACAATTAACTAGATCTTGTCATTGTCTAAGATTTTTCTCAGAGGTTCCCACTGGCTTGCTGCTTTAGTGCAGATATAAAACAGCATTGTGGCACATGTATGTTAACCTACCTTCAGCTGCTTTTTGAGGTGGAACTGCAACCTTGGCATCAGGAACATCTATGAAATCAAAATTTTTAACTGAATTAATATAAAAAATAGATTTGAATATGCTGTCCCCAAGAATAGTAGTTCATGGTGCTTTAATTGTGGTTTTCCTAGCATTAATAGGTTGCAGCCTACTCCTCAAGATTAAGATAGCTGATCAGTAGATAACTAATTGCATTAATCTTTCAATCTGGCTAGATTCTACACTGTTTCATTTTATTTCTAAATAATTCTTGCATAATTTTGGAGTATTGGGTCTTAAAAACAGTCAGAAAAGATCATTGTATATCATAAAGAGATGATTGCTACCCATTCTGCATCCCTGGTTATTTATTTTCAGTTGTGCAGAGGATATCAAATCTACTCATTGGTACCTCTTACTTATTCTATTCCTCAGTCATAGAAACAAAAATGAACTTTTGTGTTTTAAAGAATGTACAAAATTCTACACATTTTAAAAAACAGTAATATCACTGATTTTGGAGTTACCAAGGTATTCATTGTCATTGTTTATTAGAATAATTAGCTCCTCATATGATGATGAGGAATGTTTTTTCAGGGCCTAGGTTTGACTTACTATAACAAGGAAAAAATGAGTCAAAAATAAAAAACAGAGCAGAGCAAAGCACTAAATCTATGACAGAGTGAAGTTTTGATCTTGTGCCAGTCTTGCTCATCATCTTTACCTGGTGGCTTCAACTCCAGCTTGATTTCTGCAAAAAAATATTAAATTTCTTTTAGTACTATTTGTATATCCAGAATCATGTTCAAACTCACAAATTTGCAGATGGTTATGATCATAAATTTGTTCAGCAAATTCACTAACCTTTGGTTACCAGATAGAGCTCTGCAGTGCTTCTTGCTTCTCCTCTTGGTTCAAGACGAGCAATTACAGAGTATACACCTGCAACAGCCAAGAATGTTTATATTTATACGCCTTTATCATTAAAAAAACAGACATCAAAATCAGATAAAAGTAAAGCATCAGCACAAATATTCCATGCATTTTTACCTTCATCTTCTGCATTAACATTGTGAATGGTCATATAATGACAGCGACCTTCACTTCTGAAGCTGTACTTGGGACTCTCTCTCAGTTCGGTGGGGCCTTTATACCATGTCACAACTGCGTCATCAAAAGACACTTCACACTCAAAGGTTGCAGACTGGTGTTCACTCACTACAATGTTCTGTATGCTCTTAGTGAACTGAATTGGTTCTGCTGTTTTTAGAAACAAAGAATATATTAATTGTTATGCATCATCAGGCCATTTAGCTTATCTAATTCCTTCTAATTTTTTCCATAATAACAGCTACATTACAATAAGAGGCAGATCTTGAAAAAGTAGAGTAAGAAAAAGGAATTCCATCTTCTTGAAGTCTTCTATGTAAGAATGAAGATTAGAAGACATAAGAGTACAACTATAAGAAGATTGCTGTGCAGATAAATTATACAAGAGAAGTCATTAAGGAGAGGAAAGATAATGAATAATTAAGAAAAAGAGGAGGTCCAATGAAAATACAAGATTACCAGAGAAAAAGAAAATAAAAGCAAGCATGACTCAGATTTTTTTGAGGGCCAGGGAATATTAGCTATGACGATTTAGTCAAAAATACTAACAGAAATATGACACATGTCCAAAGAGAAAGGACAGCAAACTGTCTCATTTAGTCCGTTTCCAAGTTTGGGAATACAGTTTTAAGAAATTCCTTTTATTTTCATTTGTTCTATTACAGAACCTCCAGAAGCTGCTTATCACTACTGTAGCAAAGAGAATTTATATCAGTTTACAAACCTTCAACGGCCAGATCTGCAGTTGTTTCTAGATTGTCAAGCTTGCAGGTATATTGTCCCTGGTCTTCTGTTCTAACATCCTTGATGATGAGTTTGTGTACTTTGTCAGACACTTGTGTTGAGTATCTCCCTCCTATCTTAATGGGTCTCCCATTTCTATACCACTGAGACTTGGCATTTGGGATAGAGAACTGACAGGACAGCGTGCAAGTGTTTCCTTCCTTGAAAGTGGTGTCATGGAGATGCCGCTCAACTGCAGGTTCTATTAGCATGTTAAAACATACATTTTAGCAGGCATCAGACAGTGGAAGAATTAATGTATATATTAATTCAAATACATACTTCAAAAGCATACTTACCGATCACAGTTAGCCTGGCACTAGCAATGTGTGGTCCACACACTATTCTGAAATTTCCCTGATCTTCAAGTTGGCAGTTCCTGATTCTTAGTATATGGCGATCACCTTCAATTCTAATTTCATATTTGTCATTGGAGTCCAGCTTCTGAGTTCCCTTGTACCATGAAAGTTTAATTTCTGGATAATTAATTTTAATCTCACACTCAAAGATAGCATCCTCATCTGTTAAAACCATCTGATTTTCAATGTCTCTGATCAGAGTAATAGGCTGAAAAATATTAGTTTAAATTAGTTTCAAATTCCCTGTTATGAGTTTGAATATTTCATATATTAATCCAAATATATGTTACCTCTGTTTGTGAGAGTCGTTGTTGAATAAAAGCTACAAGTTCATCAAACTCCTGATCTTCTCTTTGAGCTCTTTCTGTAAGCTCAATTTCCTGTAAAAAGGCAGAATATACTAAAAGATTAAAAAGTACTAAATGTCAAGCTGTCATGGTTGTCCAACATAGGATTAGTTCCTACATCAAATTTTCTGTAACTGTACTGCAACTAATGTTTGCTCCCCATCTTAAAAACTGAAGCCAAGTTAGGAAGACTTAGCCAGAAGACCCATTACTTCTTCTTGGGTTTGAGTGTGCAAGAAATTGAGAACTATCTGTAAAAGATCCAAAGAGGAGCCATAAAATCCTGCACACACAGTAACATCAGATCATGGACACGAAGTTTGTTCAAATGAACCATGTTACTCTTAAGGCTAAATGCTAAAGTCACACTGTATCTTACCAGTCTATGGCTTTCTTCTGCTTGGGTTTGCTTTAGTAACTCAAAGGCTTGCAGGAGGCCACGGAAATCTGTAATTCCATACATGCGAGCATATTTCTCATATTCTTTGGGATCTACATTTTTGAGAAGTTCCAAGATATCAATAGGTTGCTCTTCCTCTCCTTCCTTCCTTTTTGGAGTGCTATTCAAAGCAATGACATAAGATAAATATGCAATGCTTCATTCATATAAAGTTGTTCAATGAAAAAATGAATCAGCTTTCAGCTGCACTGTGGAGTGGAATCCTTTAGTTTTGTCTAGTCAGACGCTTCTACTTTTATAAGTTATTCATGTTTAATGAATTTTAAAACATATATGTTGAATTGAGATATATAATATGAAATGTTTCCTCTGTGTTGATGGTAAATTAATCTATAAAATCTTCCCATATACCTTTTTAGTTTTGCCCTGAGATCCCCTTCAACAACTTCTTTCTTTCTTTCTTCAACTTGTAGGTTTACACTCCTCTCAATTTCACCATGTTGGTTAAAAGCTACACATTTGTACATGCCAGAATCAGTTTTTATTGTGTCCTTTATTTCTAGTTTGGCTTCATCTCCTCTCTGCTGGATTGTAATGCGACCTCCCTGGTTGAGTTGCCTCCATTTTCCCTTCATCCATTTAACATTTGGAATTGGGTCTCCTCCAACTTTTGCAATAAATTTTGCAACAGTTTCTGCAAAAAGATGCAAATAAGGAAGCTAAGTCTTTCCAGCTGACTATAAGAGCAGGACATAATCTCAAACAAAAGGTACAGGCAAATAGAAGACAATGTATGTTCTGAAAAGAATCCTTACTTTCCATGACTTTGATACTCTGAGGCTCTGATACAAAATAAAGTTTTCCTTCCAGTTCTGCTTTCTTAGCTACTGGTGAGGCTGCTGTTTTTTCTAAAAAAAAATAGAGTAATACAATAAAACAGATGGTTCCTTGTAATAATTTATGTTCATGCATGATGATGCTTCCAAAGGAATGGTAAAAAATGAATTAATTACAAAGGTGGAACAAAATAGTATGCAAGAGATAAAAATGCAAAATGGTTTTATGTTGTTTTAGTTAACTTGCATTTTACTTTCCAGATGAAATTGAATACTGTGGGCCAGATTGTGCTGTTCATTAACTTCAGTCAGGTCATTCGTATTCTGCATGGATACAAATTCATAGGTAGATATGCAAATAAGAATCATCACTTTTTAAAATAGCTGAGTTTTTGGTGAGGTTTCTCTTTTCTGTCTATTTCTGAAAATTTCATTTTTACTTGCATTTTTTTATCAGTGACTTTTGAGTTTTTTTTTGTTTGTTTGCTCAGTTCTTAGACTTCTGGATACTTATATAGTAAATAATATACTATTTCTGCGTATTACTGAACTTTTAAGTCTTTCACGCAATGGTAAGGCAAGACATACATGGAAGGACGCATGCTTAGACTATATTTGCTTTCAGCTAGAAGTTCTAAATGTAACAGTCCTGAAGCAATTAGCTTTGATGACTACATGCTCAATCAAATCCCTTCTGTATTTTCTTTTAATAAACACCACTGTTCCCATCCTCTGCATAAAATTTGCATGTCCAAGTAATTTCACTCATTTAGCTTGCATTTTGCAAACAATTTAGCGTTTAGATTTAGAAACTAAATTCTTAGTCATTTTGGTAAGACTATAGTGTTGATTTGACACTAATCTCCCATTGTTTATGCCCTATTTATGTAGAGTTAATTTTCAAATGTACTGTCTTCCTAGATTGTGTGAGTTTGCAAATAACTAAAATATACTAATTGTTTCTATTAGATTATTAACCCTTTTTGTTCCACAGAAAATAAAGTGGGATGGAATTTGGTTTAAATTTTTGTCATACACCTTGATTGTCTCCATGTTATTGTACCTTTAACTGTCACTTTAGATTTGCAAGTGTCAGTGCCAGCTGCATTTGAAGCTTTGCATACATATTCTCCTGAATCCGATTTGGTAATTGCAGCGAGTTCTAGAAGAGCTACTCCATTAGCAAAGCTGAAGTTGCATCTGTCTGAAGCTCTTATTTCTCTGCCTGCCTTCAGCCACTGAATCCGGATTGGCTGTGATCCTTGGACATGGCAGCTGAGCTGTATAGTATCACCTTCCTCTGCTGCTGCTGGTTGAAGAGGCTGGTCAAAAACTGGAGGCTTTTTGGGTTCTGGAATATGAAAATGCTTGAGTGAATACTCAAGGGAGGAAAGTAAGATTAAGAATGTAAGAGAAAAGGAGATACATGTGATTCTTAAGAAGACAGTGGCAAAGAATGAAGAAGGATAAACAGAAGTCTGAGAACGTCGATCATAGTATTAGAAAATGGAATAAGTACCAAGACAATAAGTTTTCTATGCAAACATGCAAGAAATGTCTTTACTCCACACAGCAAGGACATTCACATGTGAAAAACACTATAAGAATTAAAACACCACTATTAGGCTGCAAAACTATGTAAGCACCTTTAAAGAAAAAAATATGCAATCTCCTACAATTGTATTATGATGAAGTGCCATGCTGCTATAACACACAGTCAAGGCTGCACAAGCTTAGGTGTAAATGCACCGAAAAACTGTTTTTCCGCGAAAAGAGGATGATTAAAAATTCAACAGGAATGTCACGAAGATTTCAATGTTCAATTTAGATCAGTCACAGCAAATAGTGAAAAGGAAGCCCCTCTTTGAAAAATATTGTTGTATTTTAATAAGAAAAGTTAGAAGAATTCTTTGATTTTGTGGTTTAACTCAGTTTAGTCTACCCATCTCAGGACAAATTACTGCTGGACAAATTAAAGTAAAACCAGCTCATAAGATAGAAGCTGTATGTTTTCGCTAACATGCAACAAAGAAAAGTAAGAAGCAAATTGAAAAAAGACTTCAACTAACCTCTGACAACAACAGAAGATGTACACAACACGCTTCCTGCTTCATTGGACACTTTACAGGTATATAAACCAGCATCTGATTGTTCTACACACTTTATGTGCAAAATTAAGGTGTTATTTTTGAAAGATATTTCACAATGAGGGCTTGAATGAACTTCCTGATTGTTTTTATACCAAGCAACAGTCAAAGGCTGAGAGCCAGCAACACGGCCCTCAAGTTTAAGTTCATTCCCTTCTGTTTCTTCTACTGCTTCAGACAGTTTCTTAGTGAAAGTTGGTGGAGATTTTCGTTCTGTAAAAAAAAAAAAAAAAAAAAAAATTAACAAAATTCTATGAAAGAAATGGAAATGGAAGATTCTAAAGGAAATGTTTCAAGAAAAAAGTTTTCAACATTGGGGAATTAATACTTGCTCTCATTTAAACAGGATATTTGGGGTTTTTTTAAGTGAAAGCATGCTAAGATAAACAGAATGTGTCTTGCTTTTACAATCACTGTCATATTTGATTTTCCTATTTGAAAGAATAAATCCTCTTACATTTTTACATCAAATGCCATAAAAGCCCCAAGATTTTTGCCAAGTTCCCCAGAAAGAAATAGGCCAAAGCCTATAAAGAAACAAGTCCGAAGAAAATATTCATTAATTTCTCTTCCTGTCATTGCTGGTGACCAATCCTAACCCCCTTCAGAGACACATAGGTACCTTCAGGTACTTTCAAGCTATATCTCAAAAGTTCTTCTCAAAGTTATCTTGCAGCAATAAAGCTAACTTCCTTTATAATTAAAGACAGAAAAATGTATGCACAAAAATATACACACAATGTATAATCTATTCAATACCTTTAACAGTCAGCTGAGCTGTGCAAGAGTCCTTTCCAACTTCATTGCTAGCATAGCAGGTATACTGTCCAGAGTCTCCCCTCTCAACTCTCAAGATGGTCAAGTGGGCTGTGTTGTCTACATAACTGATTTGGTAGTTTCTTCCTGTTCTAATCTCTTGGTTGTCTTTTGCCCAAGTGACTTTAATAGGCTGTGTTCCAGAGATGTGACACTCAAAGTCAGCACTTTCTCCAATAATACCATCCACAGGTGTAACTGGGATGTCAAAAAATGGAAGAGTCTTCCCTTCTGAAGAGTGAAATAAATAAAAAGGCATCAGTTTAAAATCTTGATTTGCTTTAAACCTGTGTGAAATAAATATAATTTGTACAGTATTAAATCTATTTCTAAAGTTAGTTTTGAGATATTTCCATTAAATATTTCACAGCCCACTGACCTGTAAGGACAAGCCTGCCACTAGAAGAAGCTGTCCCGACTGCATTGGTAGCTGTGCAGGTATATTGTCCCATAAGGCTCCTATCTGTTTTCAAAATTTGAAGAGTTGCTACATTATCTATGAAGGATGTATGAACATTGTAGTCCTCTTTTACACGTACACCGTCTTTAAACCAAGATACTTCTATGGGTTCTGAACCAGCAATGCCACAATCAAATGTAACTGGTAAGCCAACGGTTTCATGGACATCTCTTAATTTTTGCATAAAAGAAGGAGGAAGTTTACGCTCTGTAAGAAAACAAGTATTGTACAGTGAAGGCTTTCAGAAGATACGCACCTATTGTTGTACTCAACAGTAATCACTGCCTAATATACTGTAGAGTACACTCAACTTTTGCTTATAACTTCCGATTACAGATTTTATTCAGCATATCATTTATTTGGAACCTGATGTGAAAAGAGCACTGTGCATATGTTTGCAGTAAAGTGTATAACCCTTCTGCCATCAGTTACACCCAGTGACCCTATTAAAACCTCACAACTGCTAATGTAGAAACAATCAAAGAAATATCCTCAATAGGAAAGGAAGACAGAAGCTTGTATCCCCACAGAAGAGCTGTGATCAATGAGAGACACATTTTGATTAGCTTCACTGGTAGACTTTTGTTAAGAGAAGACAGTAATGCAGAGACAAGCCAAGCCAAGAAACTGTAAAGCAGAAAAAGTAATATGGAAAAGGTAATCTTTGGGTTGGTTGTTTGTTCTTTTGAAATAGCAAACATGCTTAAGAAAAAGGTGCCATTTTTTGCATGTTTTTAAACTAAATATTCACCTTGAACTGTCAGCAAAGATGATGAAGCAGCCTCACCAACAGCATTTTCTACTTTGCAGATGTAGTCCCCACTGTCACTACTGTCTACCTGGCTGAAAACCAGAGTGGCAACTTGGTTTTTAAAGTGCATTTTCATAGCAGCAGTTCCTCTCAGCTTTGTATCGCCTTTGTACCATGATACAATCATTTCTGGTGTTCCAGCAACCTGGCACTGTAAGGATGCAGAATCCCCAACAGTCACCTGCACTGGCTCCAAGGGTGTAACGAAGTAAGGTGGTTCTGAAGAACAAATATACACCATTAACACAAAAGGGTATTGCACAATGAGCATTGGTAGTTCAAATAATACTCGATGAAATGATGTTGGCTTGACGCACCTAGTATTGTGATTGCACCATGACAATTATCTTGTCCAGAATCATTTTCAATATGACAAGAATATTGCCCCTGGTCTTCTAGTTTGCTATTAGGTATTTCCAGTATGGCAGATGTTTCTGTAGTGGTGATGCTACACCTTTCAGAGTGCATTATTTTTACTCCATTTTTCTTCCATGTCACTGAAATTGGTGGAGTACCCGTGTATGTGCATTCCAAGATCAAATTTTTTCCTTTCTCTACACTTAAATCATTCACCCTCTTCACAAATTTGGCTGGTTCTATAAAGAACAATGGGAAGAAAACAAATTAAATAAAGCCAAGAGATCATTTTTAGAAGCATAAGAAATAGTAGTCTGGACAAACCTTTGACAAAAAGATGTGTTGTGCAAGAAATCTTCCCTGCCTCGTTAGAGACCTGGCAAGTGTAGTCTCCACTCTGAAGTGGATGTACATCAAATAGCTCCAGTTCTGCAACTGAATCTTGCAAGGTGATACTGCATCTGTGTCCCGGTGCTAGCTCAACACTACCTCTAAACCATTTAACTTCCAATGGAGAGGAGCCTTTTATGATACTGGTAAAGGTTATGTTTGCCCCAGATAAAACATTCAGTGGTTCAGGTTTCTTCACAAAATATGGTGGTTCTAAGCATGCAAAGAAAACAAAAGAAGTACATTTCAACTTTTGATGAAGAGCATGATAATAAGAAATACATACAGATCAAAGAATTAAGTCTTTTTGAAAATATATTTGTGCCTTCTGACTCTGGCTTCTTATTGATACTGACCTCTAACACTCAAAAATGCACTGCACTCATCAGACCCAGCTACGTTACTAGCTGTGCACAAATAAGTTCCCATATCAGATTCCTGAAGTCCATTCACTTTCAGAGAACAGGTATTGTCTGTAAGAGTAGCCTGATACTTGTCTCCGCTGATAATCTCCTCTCCATCATGAAACCAGGAAACAAGAATAGGTGGTGATCCATAAACTTTACACTCCAGTACAGCAGAAGAACCCAGCTGACCATATGTTTCTTTCAGTTTTCTTGTGAAAGAAGGAGGTATAATACGATCTGCATTTTTTTTTAATAAAAAAGAGAAAAAGAAATAAATACCATACAGGAGCTTAAAATGCAGAAGGTTTCCCATGCATAATAAAATCACTGAAATTTCTTTTGATGTATCTGCTTAAGCAATCTGTTCCTACACACCTAAGTCATAAAAAAATAGTTGATGGTTAAGGACATGTTGGAACTTTCAATCACACTTTTGAGGGACACCTTTTATTTTTGCATTTCTTTTTCATAAGAAATATTGTACCAGCTGTCCAAGAAGACATGTAGACTAAAGCCAAAGAAATGAAGCCCTTGCAACAACTCAAGCCCTTGCCCCTCAGAGGTTAGATAGGCATCCATTCTTGATGTCTGTCAAAGTGGCTTGCCAAGTACTCCTAAGATTATACAAATGATGAGTCTCTCAGGCCGCCAGTCTTGAGAATCAGTTTGCTATCTGAAGGTGATATAAAAGAACTGTAGGATCGGATGTGACTCAAATAGTCAACTAACCTGAGACATGCACTGAAGCTGTGCAGCTGCTTTTACCAACACTGTTTTCCACCTCAAAGGTATATTCTCCACTGTCTTCTAGTCTTGCGTTGAGAATCTTAAGCCCAGATACTTTATTGAAGAAACTGATTTTATATTTATGGTCAGTGGACAGTTCATTCCCATCTTTAAGCCACCTAGCAGTAAGCTCTGGTGTGCCATCTACTGTGCATTCCAGAGTACATGAGTCTCCTGCTGTAACTTTGACTGGGCCTGGCTTCTCAACAATGACTGCAGGTTCTGCAATGAGATGCAAGTCACAAATATTTTAAAACCAACAACGCAATAATTCTTAGTATTGTAAAAATTGAAATTTGAAATCATAGTAGACCACATTGTGTTTTTTAATCTCATGCTACCAACCTAGAACTCTCAGTGTGGCAAAGCATTCCTGAACTCCAGCATCATTTTTTATCTGACAAATGTATTTCCCAGCATTGGCTGGCTCTGCATTTCCAATCCGCATAGTTGCAATGTTTTCTGAATAGGAAATCCAAAGATTATCACTTTCTCTGATGATTTCCCCTTTGTCTTTTAACCACAGAACAGAAATGGGCTGTGATCCTTCTACTGCAGCCTGCAGTTCAATCGACTCCCCAACTACAACAGTGAGATCACTCAGCTTCTTCACAAAGGTTGGTGGTGCTATTTAAGAGAAGATATTTAACAGTAAAAAAAACATGCCAGTAGTGCCAAAGTAGGAGGAGAATGACAGGAACAATGCAATGTCAAGAAGATGCCAGTCTTTATACAAACCTCTTAGTGTTACAGAGCCAATGCAGGAGTCACTCCCCACATCATTTACAGCTTTACAGTGGTATTCACCAACATCTGCAGTATCCACACTGAGAATGTGAATACTAGCTAGGTAGTTCTCAGACATGACCTTATACTTCTTGCTGCTCCGAATTTCTCGTTTGTCTTTGTACCAAGAAATCTGGAATGGAGGAGTGCCCTGAAGCTCACATTCTAGGTGAATATCAGACCCTTTCAAGGTCTCAATTGGATGGGGCTTCTTGATAAAAATGGGGGGTGCTGGAAAAAAAAAGGGGGAGGAGAAATTTTGTGTTATTTGAGGGAAGAAGATTAAAGAAGACAAAGTATTCAAGTAGCCACTCTGATGCCAAACAGCAAAGACAAACCATAATTAAGATAGATATCCCACAGTATAACAAGCAGACAAAAGATTTGCCCTCTGTTCAGACAGGTTTTGGCCTCTCTGACTAAAGAAAGTGGGATTTAAGCACTTTTCCTAAAAGGAAGACTCATGAAAATAGAAAGGTAAGGAAAGAACTGTGTTTCTGACCTTTTACTTTCAGTGAGGTACTGGTGCTTGCACTACCAGCTGGATTGTGAGCTTCACAAGTGTAGTCACCACTGTCTTCAACACTGAGGTTGTACATTTCAATGACTGCCACTGAATCCACAAAGGACATTCGGTATTTTTCACTGGGATGGATCTCAGTTTCACCTTTGTACCAGGTGACTTTCATTTCCGGAGATCCACCTATTTTGCATTCATACTTAGTGGAATCATGCTGTTTCACAAGTCTTGAGGAGTCAAGTTTCTTAATAAACCTTGGTGGTTCTGGAAAGCCAAAAAGTGTAAATGTTGCTTTAAACTGCACTGATTCTTTGAATAAATAGGGAAATATGTAAGAGAAAATGTAAACGTTCTGGACTTCTGCAAACATTTTAATTTTGTAATTGTTACGATTTTTTTAAAGATTATTTAAGTTTCTTTTATTTAGGAAGCAAACTAGTTATCTATATGCATTTCAGCTAGTTTCTCCTTACTTTTTTGTAACACTCTACTTCTCCCATGTATTCAGTACAGACCAAGTGATGTATGGTTTCCTTTAAGTAATTTCCTCAGCAATAAGTGAGTATTCAAAATACGTGACGGAAAAGTAAGAATGCTAACAGTTCAGCCAAGAAATATTATTAAGAGCATTTATGCAAAGCATTATAGCAACTGCTTTATATCTGAAAATGTCATTAACAACTGATACAGTCAATAAATGTATCTGCATTATAACACTTCACAAATTTATGGCAAAGCCAAACACAAAGGTACACATAAGGAACAGAAGTCAAGATTATGTAGTAAACAATATAGGGTTAAAAAAATCATGCTGGGAAGAATTGTGAGATGGTTGGTATTAAAGAAATTAGTGTTAAAGGTCCTATGAAAAGCAAATCATTATTTTTTTTTGCAAGGAGATGAAGTGGAGGTTTGACACTTTCCATCAAAAGTACTGTGCGTATGATTCAGAATCACAAGACTGAATGCTCATAGATCAAAGCTATAACTAGTAAATCCATGAGGTGGTAACGTGGGCACAACAAACAAATCTCCCTGCAAAACAGGATGAACTGCTTCTTTGTGTATCTGTCTGTAAAGTGTAGGAAGAATATCTATTTTGCTGTGGGTTACTTCAACCTGTGTGACATTTACAGAACATCCTATGTTGTTAGTAACAAAACTTCCTTAGAGTTTCTAAAAATAGAAATGATGGTTGTTTAGATAAGGACTCTTGGAACCTTTGCATTATATTATCAGATTTCACTTTGGCAAAGAAGTGATTCTCTATCTGCATACTAACAGCTGATGAGTAGTAACAGTCTAATTCCATTCCTTACCAAAAATGGGGATCTATCACCAAAAATGTAGATATACAAGTTGGTAAGGTATATACTTAGAATGTAAAGCAGTTTCTATAACCTAAAGCAATTGTTAAAACTACAGAGTGAGAACTTAACCGTTAAAGTATGAAAAGTAGTAAAACTCTGGGAAATTACCAAGGTAAATCAAACAAAAGAACTTAATTCTTCAAACAAAAGAACTTAATTCTGCAAACAAAACGATGTGTGTTATAGAGATGAGACAGCATCTGCTCAAATTAAACACACACAAATCAATACCCAAAAGAGTTTTCTCTTCCAAGTTCTATAGAAAATGGCTGCCAAACAATGAATATCATTAATTTTACAACCCTGGGGAAACTGTACAAATTCTAAAGGATTAAAGTGATTTAAAGTGAGTGTCAGTGTAAGTTCAGGATCAAAAAAGAAAATAATAATTGTGGAGGAAAAAAAAAAATCAGGATTTTGTGAATAAAGAGCTGAAGAGAAAGAAAACATCAAAGGTCAGGATCTTCTTATGAATGGTAACTCTAAACAAATAAACTTATCACTAATATCATTAATAATAAACAGAATTGTGACTGTGGTGGAAACAAGCTTTCAATCTTTTAAAGAGGTTAGGTTTCTTGCTACAGTCCTTCAACGCTTTTTGTAAGTCAAACTACATAGTAACAGCGTCCCTACTTGTCACTGAATCCACAAGCACTTCAGTCTGCCCCATTCTTTCTGCCCCCACCAAGAAAAATCTATCTATGGATAGAACATACTCTAGATAGAAATATGTAATACATTTGACATGCAGTTATTAGTGATTTTGCTAGTGGTAGTTCAGCTTCTTATGTCATTTGTCTTACAGAATAAAAGTCATAGTATTTATTCTTGAAATATTTTTTTTGATTTTTTTCCCCCCCAAAGTTCATACAGAGAGGAAAAAAAGGGGGGAGGGGGGCGGCACTAAAAGAACAGGAACATTTGAACTCATGCATTATTTAAGACCTGCATTTTACATTCTTTTATAAAATCACTAAGTATGAGATATCCGGAACAGCTATAAACAAATCCTGTGTTCCCACCTACATTAAGGAAATTAACGTGCAAGTGTCACTTGTACCAAGACAGTTAGATCCAGTCATAAATTTAGATGACTAAAAGATTCTCCACTATATGGAGAAACAAAGTGTTGGAAGAATGGATGTTTGTCACCAAGTGTACTCTCAGATCCTCCCATTTTGCTATCTAGAACAGCAGTTCTCAATGTTTCCAGTCTGTGAAAGGGTAAAATTATTTGCAGCAACTGCACACCCAGTAACAACACATTGAAGTCTCATAAGTTAACTGAGCTTCCCTCAGTTACCTTTCCCTCCCCTGGACAATCTAGTGAATGAAGAAAGACTTAAAGAAAGACAGCTTTTGCTGGCCAACAGGGTCATTCATAAAGGCGCAACAAGGCTCTAAGTCAGATTTAATATTTCAATGAAAGAATCCCTTTGATCAGATAAATCACACACTATATCAGAAGAATGATTAATAAGTATTTAGGTATTACAATAATATTTAAATGAAGTAAAACATCACAGTGTAGCCTCTTATAAAGATTGTTAGTCTCACACGTCTGCATTAAAGGCTTTGTTCTCCAGACGTCTCCCTTGCAAAGAAAAGTCTCATGAACACTAAAGCTCACAATACCTTGTACAGCCAGTTCAGCTGCACACGCATCCTTTCCAACACTGTTGCTGGCTGTACATGTGTAGAGTCCAGCGTCCCCTTTACCAACTTTTAGGACTGCCAAGCTGGCCGTGTTTTCCACCAATGTCATCTTGTAGTTGCCACCTGGGCGAATCTGTCTGTTGTCTCTCATCCAAGTAATCTTCATGGGAGCAGAGCCAGTCACATGGCACTTAAAAGTTGCACTTTCTCCTAGTGCTACATCAACAGATACTGGCTTGATGTCAAAGAAGGGAGGTTGTAGAAGTTCTGCAAAGAGGAAAGCATGGCAGAGCTCATCACTGAGCCCTTATCAACACACACCTCACCATGCCATGCCCATGCTCTGTGGCCACCATACAATGGGTAGAGTGGGGAAAAGGGTGAAGAAATAGAAGAGCAAAGACATACAAGTAAGCTACAAACCTGTGAGGAGAAGTTTGGCGCTAGAAGATGCAGTCCCCAAAACATTTTTGGCTGAGCAAGTGTATTGGCCACAGTGAGCCATACTTGTTTGCAAGATCTGAAGAGTTGCAACATTATTTAAGAAGGCTGATTGCATGTTATCACTGTCACTTAAGAGAACCCCATCCTTGTACCAAGACACCTGGATAGGCTCTGAGCCATTTATACGGCAATCAAATGTCACTGGGGCACCAACCGCCTCCTGAATATCTTTCAGTTTTCTGGAGAATGTAGGGGGAAGATGCCGTTCTGCAAAATAATAATAATCACCACAGTAAGTAGGAAGCCACCCTGCTAATTTAGAATTAATTAATTAATCCTGAAATTAATAAGAACCCCTTTCTGTAGATAACAAGGAGTTCCTACAAAGTACCCCCTGAAAGAGTGGCCCTTGGCTCATCACCTTTAACAACAAGCAGAGCTGTGGAGGTGGCGAAGCCAACACTGTTTTCTGCTTTGCAGATATATTCTCCAATGTCACTATCCTCTATGGTGGAGAATGCCAGTGTTGCCACATTATTCTTGAAATGCATTTTGTAAGCCTGTGTTGATCTGAGCTTGGTGTCATCTTTGTACCAGGACACCTTGATTTCTGGTGCACCACCAATCTGGCATTTTAAGATCAAGGGCTCTCCAACCTTCACCTCCACACGGTCCAAGTGTGTGACAAAATAGGGTGGTTCTAGGGAAAGAGACAGCATGGTAAGCAGATGCAGAGCGTCATCAGGGTCCCTTAGGGGGATCTGGAGTGCTCCATACCTAAGATAGACACAAGGCTGTGGCAAACATCTCCACCTGCCTCATTTGCCACCTCACAGGTGTATTCGCCTTCATCACTCTTGGTGCTGTTGAAGATTTCAAGAATTCCAGATTTGTCAGTAGTTGTAACACTGCAGCGTGGAGACTGGGCAATGGGCATGCCATTTCTTTTCCAGGTGACAGAGACAGGAGGGGTGCCTGTGTAGCTGCTTTCCAACACAATGGACTTCCCCTGCTCCACACTGAAATCGCTTAATTTCTTCACAAATACTGCAGGCTCTGTGAGGAGACATAGATCAACAGTGAGAGGGACAGATGTTGTGAGGAGACATAGATCAACAGTGAGAGGGACAGATGTAGCAGGGCTGCAGGCAGAGCATGAAGGGATATACCTGTGTGTACACATGCACACACAAACACACCTTTCACAAAGAGTTGGGTTGTGCATGAGGCACTACCGGCATCATTTGTGACAACGCAGGCATAGTCCCCACTGTGGCCTGGCTCCACGTTGTACAGCTGCAGCTCTGCCACAGACTCATCCAGAGAGATGGAGCAGTTGCTATCTGGCACCAGCTCCCTGATGCCTCTGAACCAGGTCACTTTGAAGGGAGTACTGCCCTTGATATAGGTGCTGAACGTCACACTTGATCTGGGCAAAACTTCCTGGGGATCAGGTATCTTCACAAAAGAAGGTGGTTCTAAGGATCATGCAAAAGAGTGAAGAGAGAGAAAGATGTTAATAGGAGAGTCACTGGGAGAGGAAAAATGGAGTAGGTTTGAATTAAAAAAAAAAAAAGAGGAAGAGGGAGAAAAGGAAAAAAAATATAAAAGAGACCATGGGAAACCTGAAGGAAGAAAGAGAGAGGGAAGAAGAATTTTGTTGAAGGGCTGTAGTATTCTTCCACTGACCTTGTACAGTCAAGAAGGCACTGCATTCATCAGACCCAGCCACATTGCTTGCTACACAGGTATATGGCCCTGTATCCGTGACATCCAAGGCATTCAGTTTCAAAGCACAAACATTATCCAAGAATGAGATTTCATATTTTTCTCCACTGACAATCTCATTTCCATCCTGATACCAGGACACAGATATGGGGGATGTGCCAGACACTTTGCACTCTAGAAGCACTGAGGATCCCAGCACCCCATTTGTTTGCTTTAGTTTTCTTGAGAATGAGGGAGGAACAAGGCGATCTAAGCAGGACAGGGCAAAAGAATAGACAGAAAAGTGTTTGGATTTTTTTTTTTTCAGGCGAAAGGGAAGGGGAAAAAGAAAAATGCTTTCTTTAAAGATAAGTGTGAACTACAAAGACATAGAGCTGACCTGAAACATCAACTGAAGAAATGCAGCTGCTGTCCCCCACCTCATTGTGCACCTCAAAAGTATACAAGCCCCTGTCTTCTCTGTCTGCAGAAAAGACTTTCAAAGTGGATATATTGTTGAAAAAGGTAATTTGGTATTTGCGGTCACTCCTTAGTTCTCTGCCATCTTTGTACCACTTGGTAATAAGTTCAGGTGTTCCTCCTACTTTGCACTCCAATGTAAAAGGATTGCCAGCCATTACTGTGATTGGCTCTGTCTTCTCTAAGATGACTGCTGGTTCTGAAATAGGAAGGTATGGGTCAGTGTGTCACCAGGATACCTACCCACAAAACAGCGAGCACAGGGCATATGCAGAAAACAAAGGCTGGTAAAGGCAATTGTGCAAGCTGCAGGATACAGTAGTTGTGAATCAGGCTATACCCACCTAGGACTTGTAAAAAGGCAGAGCACTCCCGCATGCCAGCATCATTTTTGATCTGGCAGATGTACTTCCCAACATCAGCTCCTTCTGCACTGGCAATCTCAAGAGTTGCAATGTTGTCCATAAACCACATTTGGACATTTTCGCTCTCCCTAATAACTTCACCCTTGTCCTTGAGCCAGACAACAGAAATTGGTGGGGATCCTTCCACCACTGCCTGCAGGGCTGTTGGCTCCCCAATGAAGATTGCAGTGTCACTCAGCTTCTTAGCGAAGCGTGGGGGTTCTGATGCAAAAACAATGAGGCAGAAGAAGGTTAATGATACATGCCTGCTTAGAAGAGAGACAGCCAGGAGATCAAGAAGAGAGGGTGGTGATGCTGTTGATTCTTCAGCATACAAACCTTTGAATTTCACCGGACAGATGCAGGTGTCGCTTCCCACCTCATTCATAGCTTTGCACTGATATTCTCCAGTATCTTGAGCTTCCAGACTGAGAATATGAAGACTGGCAATTGAATGCTTTGCTGTCACCTTGAACTTCTTGCTGCTTCTGACCTGCCTCCGGTCCTTGAACCAAGCAACCTCAAAGGGTGGAGTCCCTGCTATCTCACACTGGAGAATAACATCTGAGCCTTTAAGTGTGTCAACAGGGCTTGGCACCTTGCTAAAAACAGGTGGTTCTATAAAAAAAGAATCACATATGATGTGTGAGCCTCCTTCCCTGGGTGGGTTTCTGGATAACAGGAGGCAAGATATTCAGGAAGGGGGCCTACACTTAGTCTTGTAAACCCATATTTAGCTTCCGAATGTGTGGTGTCACCTCTAAAAAATGCGGGGTCCCTGGCATCTCCCAGCAAGCCAACCCAGCACTCAAGAGCCTCAAGGGCAGAAATATGATGCTTCTGCACCTGTTTGGAGTCAGCGCTCTGTGCCCCTCCCCAAAAGCCACTCTTCAGGACCACATTCCAGCTTTCACCCGCCTCTTTACAGTCATGAAAGCTACCATCAGTGAGGTTCAGCAACACAGCCTCCTCTTCCGTCTTAAATTTCATTCCTGCCAGGATCACTGTGTATAAAAGGAGATGGAGGGACGGCTGTAACGTATGCTCAGCTTCCTCACCATGGCTGGTGTAACACCTAGTCCATGCTCCCTTTGCGGTCTGACAAGCTTGCCTTATTCATCTTGTAAATGACTTAAAGGAGAAGACAAGGGAATGGCTGCACAATGCTGAACGCTCGCCATTATTTCCTGCCTCATCTCTGCTCTTTAAACATAACAGCATTTGAACGTGAGAGTAGCTGGAGAGAAACTGCCCCAGCAGCCACCAACTGCCATAGCAGCAGCTCCCTGTCCAGGGGGATGTGCAGCTGGAAGAGGGCCCAGAAGCCAAGGATTCTGGTAGTGTGTGGAGCTATGCTGCTAACCTTTAACTGTGACTGAAGTGCTGCAGCTGGCTGTGCCAGCAGAGTTCTGGGCTTCACATATGTAGTCACCAGCATCCTCAGTGTTGGCATTCAAGATGGTTAGTATTGCCATGGAGTCTACAAAGGACATGTGGAGCCTGTCGTTCGCTTGGAGTGCCTGATCATTTTTGTACCACACGGTTCTGATCTCTGGTGTGCCACTGATTTTACATTCAAGTTGCACTGTGTCCCCCTGCTTCACGAACCGCAAAGCTTCAGGCTTCTTGATGAACTTGGGAGGTTCTGCAGAACAGCAAGTATGTAGAGTGACAGTATACCTGTTAGCCATGTGAAATCTACAGTGCTGAGAAAGAATTATGGGGAACACAAGAGTATTGCAGCACAAGAAAGTAAGCTTGCTATAGCAGTTGGCTGTATCCCCAACCAGAGTTTCCTCTCAAGAAAGATAGAGAAAAGAAAGACCACAACTAAAACTATGTTCTGCCAACCCTGGAGCCTGATGAGTCATCTGGAATTGTAGAAACACAAGAAGGATGATTGCAACACCCAAGGAAAATTTTTTTGTTACTTTTGAGAGGTGAAAATATCCCCAGGCCAGCGTGAAAGATTTGACAAGCACTTCACCCATAGGAGCAGCAGAAACACGGTAGGAATAGTTTCACTTGCATACAAATCTTTAAAGCATATTTCTGCATGAAGAATTTAAGTGATTCATAGTTTAGATTTTATCAGCATTTCAGAATTCCAATTGAAATCCTTAGCAAATTTGATTGTCACTAATGCTGGCCTACAGATGCAAAGTAGTTGTATTTACTGTATCACCATTTTTCACATAGTATTTTCTACATGTGAATACCACTCTGACTGCACTTTAAGAACTAATGACAGTAAAACGTAGGGTGAGTCAAGCTCCCCATTCAAAGGGCTTCACAAGGGGATCTTTCCCCTTGGAGATTTTGCAGGTACACAAGGCTTCTACTGTCATGCTGTATGATAGAAGAAAGTCAGCACATGTCTGCTTTCTGGAAAAGTAATGATCCCAAACTGGAAAGGGTGGAAGATGAAACTCAGTAACAAAGAGGTCTGTTTACCCAAATAAAAGAAAATAAACAAAGGAAGGTGACTTAATACCTTTGACATAAAGTTGGGCTGAGCAAAAGTCTTTACCAACTTCATTACTAGCTTGGCAAGTATATTGGCCAGAGTCTCCTTTACCCACTCTGAGCACACGAAGGTGAGCTGTGTTGGCTACAAATGTAATATTGAAGTTTCCTCCAGTTCGGATCTCCCGTCCGTCCTTGGACCAGGTGATATGTATTGGCTGGGCTCCAGTAACATGGCATTCAAAGTCAGCACTTTCTCCAAAAGGCACATCAATAGATTCTGGCTTGGTGTCAAACACAGGTGCTTGCTTGGGTTCTAGAAACAGAAGAAAACCATGTAGTACTCAAACTTCATGAAAAAGCTAATCCAACACACCGGTACCATTGCATGCGTGAAACAGGAAGGGGTAGCCTATGGTCAAGGCAAAAGTTTTGTAAGCCAACACACCTGCCACTGTGAGCCTAGCACTTGAGGTGGCAGTGCCCACAGCATTGGTGGCTGTGCAGGAGTACTGCCCAGTATGATTCATCTCGGTTCGCACCAGCTGCAGCACTGCAACATTATCTACAAAGGATGTGTGCACATTGTGGTCATCGCTTAGCAGCACACCATCTTTATGCCAAGCCACAGTAATAGGTTCTGAGCCATTGAGCCGGCACATAAATTTAAGGGGTAATCCAACAGGGTGCTCGATGTCCTTTAATTTTCTTGCAAAGGAAGGTGGCCGTTTGCGCTCTGGAAGAAAGTAGGTAAAGGATAAATATGCCCCAGGAAACAGGTTTTTTTTACATAATTTTGTAAGAGAAAAAGAGTTTGTAGCAAGTTAATAAAAACCATCACCTTGAACTGTCAAGAGAGCCTTTGTAGATGCAATTCCTACACTGTTTTCTGCCTTGCAGGTATATTCTCCACTGTCGTTGCTAACCGCTTTGTTGAAAATAAGTGTAGCAATGTTGTCTTTAAAGAACACTTTGTACTCAGGAGTAGATCTGAGTTTTGTATCACCTTTGTACCAAGACACAGTGATTTCTGGTGTACCACCAACACGGCATTGCAATGTTGTGTAATCCCCAACTGACACCTCAAGAGATTCCAAGTGTGTAACGAAATAGGGAGGTTCTAAAAAAGAGAAGCGTTTAGGCTCATTATAGTGCCAGGCCTCGTAAGACATACACTTGAAAGAACAAGCAAGAAAAAGAAGCAAAGGGAGCACACACCTAGAGTAGAGACTACAGCCCCACAAACATCTCTTCCTGCCTCATTTTCAACATGGCAAGTGTATTCTCCTGCATCCTCTTTGGTGCTGTCAAGTATTTCCAGGATGCAGGATTTCTCTGTGGTGGTGATACTACACTTCTGAGATTGAGTGATGGTGTGGCCATTCTTCTTCCATGTCACAGAAATGGGAAGGCTGCCTGTGTAAGTTCCCTCCAGGATGATGGCCTTGCCGGGCTCTACATACTGATCACTCAGTTTCTTCACAAAGACTGCTGGCTCTAACAAAGGGTAAGAAGTCACAAATGTTGAGCTCTACAGGACTAATGGAGGAAAAGAAACAATGCTTTAAGGTAGAGAGATGCCATTTTTACAAACCTTTTACTGTAAGGTGTGTTGTACAATTTGCCCTGCCAGCATCATTAGTCACTAGACAAGTGTATTCTCCACTTTGGAGAGGAGTTACATCAAATAACTCAAGCTCCGCAACAGAGTCCTCCAAGTAGATATTGCATTTGTCTCCTGGCACCAACTCATTGGACCCTTTAAACCAGTTCACCTTAAAAGGTGGGGTTCCTCTGATAACACATGTAAAAGTGATGCTTGTGCCTGGCAAGACATCTAGAGCCTCTGGTGTCCTCTCAAAAGAAGGTGGTTCTAAACACACAAGAGAAAAAGAGAGGTAAGACAGATTGCTACAGCGTAATCCTGGCATTTTCACACCCACTGAAGATAAAGAACACAATCTTTATTTTCCCCATCAGTAATTTTCCCCAAGCATATTTACAAAAGACCATAGGTAATGTCAAGAGAAAAAGAGAAAAGGACAGCTTAGAGAGCTTCCTGATCACCATATACTGACCTTGTACGGTCAATACAGCACTGCATTCATCTGAACCAGCTATGTTGGTAGCTTTGCAGGTATAAGTTCCAGCATCTGAATTACTCAGTGAATTCACTTCCAAAATACAAAGGTTATCTGAAAAGGAGATTTGATATTTTTCCCCACTGACTAACTTAAGTCCATTTCGGAACCAAGCTACAGAAATAGGAGGTGAACCCGACACTTTGCATTCCAGCAATGCTGAGGAACCCAGGACACAAGGAGTTTCCTTCAATTTTCTTGTGAAAGAAGGAGGAATGATTCGGTCTGCAGAAGAAAACATAATAAATACATGGTTAGAAAGAAGAGGAAGGAACAAATGGGAGAAAGGAAGGAGAACATGACCGAGTGAAAGTTTTTGTAAAAGACAGAAAACAAGCTACACAACCAACCTAAAACATCAACTGATGCTGTGCAACTGCTTTTCCCCACGTCGTTCTGCACTGCAAAAGTGTACAGTCCAGCATCTTCCTTTTCTGCATCCATAATTTTAAGCGTAGATACTTTATTGAGGAAAGTAATTCTGTATTTCTGGCTGCTGGTCAGCTCTTTGCCATCCTTGAACCACCCAGTGGAAAGCTCTGGTGTGCCTGCCACTTTGCACTCCAAAGTACAGGCGTCTCCTATAGTAACTCTCATTGGTTCTGCTTTCTCTACAATGACTGCAGGCTCTAGAAGGAGACATGGGTAACATGTACGGTAAACATGGAAATCAAGTAGTGCTAGGTGTTAAGTGTTATAGCATTGTAAGATGGGGTTTACACATTTGATTCTAGGGATATCCCAGTCTTTTGGGCTGGGGAATTTTTCAGCTTTTTCTTTTTTTTTTTTTTTTTTTTTTACACCCTTTATTCTGCCCTAAACTGGAGATTTTAGATGCTCTCCAAAATAAATTACAAACATTTTTAAACTCCTGGGAGAGAAACGCAACTGTTTGTCTCTAAGCAGAAGACATGACAGAAATTCAGTCAACTGGATCCCATAACCATCTAGAGGCCTGTGGCTCCTCTCACCTTTATCCTTGGACAACTGAAAATAAGGAACCTGACTACTGCTTGTTGGGGATACAAGAAACCTCTGTTTTGATTGTTTTAAACTCATGGCAATAAGGGCATCATGCAGCCAACACTAAACAGCCAAGATCCCAACTTAAAAAGAAAAAAAACAACTCTATTGCGAACCTATGCTTTTTACCAACCTAGAATACTTAAGGTAGCCATGCACTCTCGACTTCCAGCATCATTTCTGATCTGACAGATGTATTTTCCAGCACTGCTTGTCTCTGTGCGCAGAAGTTGTAAAGTTGCAATATTTTCCATAAACGTGATCTTCGTGTTTTCACTTTCTCTAATAATTTCCTCTTTGTCTTTAAGCCACTGCACAGAAATTGGCTGGGAGCCCTCCACTCTTGCTTGTAACTCTACTGGTTCACCAACCACAACAGTCACACTGTTTATTTTAGTCAAGAATTTTGGTGGTTCTGAAGAAGAAATATGCAGTTATAATAAATACTTACAGTGTCTATGCAAAGCAGAGTAATGCAGTGCCATTGGGAGCACTGCAGAAGGCATATGTGTCAATACTTTACCTTTCAGCTTCAGAGTGCAAAAACAAGTGTCACTTCCTATGTCGTTCTGTGCTTTGCACTGATATTCACCCACATCTGCAGCTTCAACATTAAGAATGCGAACACTGGTGTGGTAGTTTTTGGCTGTAACCTTATACTTCTTACTACTGCGGATTTGCCTCCTGTCTTTGTACCAGGTAACGTCAAATGGTGGTGTTCCTGAAATCTCACATTCCAGGCTAACCTCAGTTCCTTTGAGCATGTCTACTGGAGAGGGCTTCCTGCTAAAAACAGGAGGTTCTAACAAGGGAAGAAAGGAACATTTTTAGAATGGAGCCTGGAGCTATTTGACTAACAAATCATTTACTCATACCAGCTTCTACACAATGAGACAGCTGAGAAAATCAACAGAATGGGCACAGACTTTCCTCATTTTCTGGGCATATTATGAAATAATCTTGCAAGTAGCTGGCATCCAGAGCTCTTAGCTTCTCTGTAGAAAAGGTAAACAAAGGGGTGGCCCTTGGCAGAGAGGGTACAGGTGTCATTTATCTGATAGTTGTCTCAAACACAGGATGTAAAACTGATGCTGATTACTCTGGGTCTGTTATTTCAGTTTGTATTTCAGCTCCTTGATATAGCAGCTCCCACTATGATCTGTCCTGGATGTTGACAGTCATAAACCTGTGGATCACCTAACTTAGGACTCATCTGCATTAAGAACAACACTGCTGTTTTTCAGGCACTGACAGAGGCAGGGGAGGGGGCATCAAGAAACAAACATAACATGAAGAAAAAGGCAGTCCTAAAATACTAAATGAATCTCCTGTTCTTGTTGATTTTCAAAGGATAAAGTCACCAGGGAAAAATCAGATGTAGTCAAGAGAATAAGAGTATAGCTAACCTTTCACTGTGACTTTAGTACTACAGCTGGCCTTGCCGGCTGGGTTGTGAGCTTCGCAGATGTAGTCACCACTGTCTTCAGTACTGAGATAATTCATTTCAAGCACAGCCACGGAGTCAATGAATGATGTCCGGAATTTTTCACTGGCAACAATTTCATGGTCATTTCTGAACCACACTACTTTCATCTCTGCAGATCCACTTACTTTGCACTCAAGCCGGGCTGAGTCACCCTGCTTGACCACTTTTGCTGCCTCTAGCTTCTTAGCAAACTTGGGTGGTTCTAAAAAACCAGAAAAAGTGGAGTCAGGAAGATCTGAATTAATACTGGGAAAAAAAGAGGAGGGGAAAGAACCAAAGAACTGTGGGTTGCAAACACAGGGTAGGGAATTCACCTGAAGGTGTATCGATATCACTGAGGTGGGCTTGGCAAAAAAAAGAAAGAAAAGAAATAGGTGAAAAGACTGCAACACAAGAAAGAAGGCACACCTGTTACCATCAGTGTTGTAGTGCAAGAGTCACTGCCAACATCATTAGAAACGTGGCAAGTGTAGCACCCACTCCTAGAAGTATCCACTGAATAGAGGGTTAAGAACCCAGTTGACCCTTCAATCCCAATGAAACAGGTTGGACCAGATACAAGTTCTAAGTCTTCTTTGAACCACTTTACTGTAAAGGGTGGTGTTCCTTTTAGTGTAGCCTTAAACTCCACTGTGGAATCTGGGACGGCTTGATGGCTTTCAGGTTTTACTAAGAAGCTTGGTGGCTCTGCAGTTTTCAAGAAAAAGAAATATTCAGTTACATCAGAAATGTCTTCATTGGAAGAATGAAGAAAATTAGTATGGTAAGCATGGAGACCAAGTTTTCAGCATTTGTATTAAGAGGTATAAGAGTCTTATGTTAGCATAAGATTTAAGGTATTTTTCCCAGCATCCATCACAAACAAGCAGCAAAAGAGTTTCAAACCTTTCACAGTCAGGACGGCACTGCAAGAATCGCTCCCAGCAACATTAGAGATACTGCATGTGTAATTTGCACTGTCTGCCAGTTCTAGATTAGCAATCTCGAGTGACATAGTGTTCTCGTGGCACAGGCTTCTATATTTTGCACTGTCAGTTATCTCTTTTCCATCCTTATACCATTTTGCAGTAATGGGGAGTGACCCAGAGACTTTGCACTCCATTTGGATAGAAGATCCCAGAACAGTATCCTTTTTGGTTAGTTTTTTGATAAATCCAGGAGGAATTGATTGATCTGCCCAACACAAAAAATGGCAAAACCACACTGGTTACCTTCTTGCCTGCCTTTCACAGAGATTATAATTTTTTCATTCCCTCCCTGCTGGGTTGGTGAATTCGCCAAATGACAATACAAACCTAGGACAGTGAGAAGAGCTTCACAGGTGCTACTTCCAAAGTCATTTTCAACCTTAAAACTGTATGTACCACTATCCTCCTTTGATACAGGTTCAATCCTGAAACTGGCCACATTGTTTTCAAAGCTCATTGTGTAGTATCTACTGGGTAGGAGTTGTTTGCCATCTTTGTACCATCTTATTCGGAGCTCTGGTGTCCCAGCCACAGTACACTCCAAAGTCACAGGGTCTCTTTCAGTGACTTTAAGTGATTTAGCCTTTTCTATAATTTGGGCAGGCTCTGAGATAAAAAGTATATAAAAATAATAGTTAGAGACATAGACAGGGTACTGACTTTCCAAGTACTCATCAAGGACGTCTTGAAGGGTCACACCTTGTACACACCTTGTACAAAAAGCAAACCAAAACATTTCTCCATGCCAGATTCATTCTTTGCCTGGCAAGTGTATCTTCCTTTGTGGCTGAGGTCAATATTGGTAAGTTCCAGTGTGGCCACACTGTTCTCAAAGGTGATATGGTGGTGCTCATCATCTTCTAGTATTTTCTCATCTTTTATCCATGACACAGATAAGGGTTGAGCACCAGCTACAACGCACTGGAAGAATGCAGTACCTTTCAAAATGCTAGTGACGTTCTCCAGCTTCTTGACAAAGGATGGTGGTTCTGTGGTGTGAAGTTTTGTTTGTTGGTTGGAGGAGAAGTCATAGAAAGGGAAAGGTGGAAAGAGAGATAATATAAAGTCAACCTAGTCACTACAGTTTAGCTAGAGCATATAATGTTGTAGGTATGCTTCCTAAAGAACTGACCTTTCAAGCTGAGCCTTGTGCTGCAAGAACAGCTCCCACCCTCATTTGATATAATACACTGATATTCACCAACATCTGAGACATCACAGTTAGTCACATTAAGAGTAAATACTGATTCTTTGGCAGAGATGGCATATTTCTTGCTGCTGAACATCTCCTTATTGTTCTTCAGCCACTTCACCTCAAATGGAGGAGTACCAGTCACCTCACACTCAAGTATGGCTTCCAAACCCTTCACTACCTCAGTGGGACGCAACTCCCGAACAAATGTTGGAGGCTCTACAAAGAAGAATGAAGAGAAAGCAAATAGTAACCTCGAATGATATTGAGGGGAGAAGTCTCCCCTACTCCATTGCCCCAGCTATGTGGCATAGATGCCAAGGTGTTCAAAACAAACCTTTTACTTTCAGCTCGATGCTGCAGCTTTCACTACCTGCATCATTGTGGGCTTCACAAACATAAATCCCACTATCTGACACTCTGGACTGAGTTAATTTCAAAGTGGCTAAACCGTCTATGAAGGAGATGCCGTACTTGGCATGGTCAGTCACTTCATTACCATCCAGGTACCATGTTATGTGGATCTCTGGTGTGCCTACTACTTGGCATTCGAAAGTGGTGGACTGTCCTTCACGCAAAGCTACTACGGAAGTTGGCATCTGAATAAACCTGGGAGGCTCTAGAAGATGGACAGAAAAGGTGAGGCTTTGTAATATTCAGGTGAGTTAAAGAAATACAAGGGTTTCTACCCCCTCCCTCCAAACTGCACAGAAAAATCAGAGGCACAATGAGGAGAACATTGAGCTGCACACCTTTTACAAACAAAGTTGCTTTGCAAGTTGCAGTCCCCACATCATTGCTTATCTGACAAGTGTAGTTCCCAGAGTCAGATGTCCTAGCTGAGAAGAGCTCCAGTACACTAGATGTGTCATCCTTCCAGACAGATCGATTGGCTCCAGAGAGAAGCTCTTGGCTGTCTTTAAACCACTTTATCTGCAGAGGAGCAGAGCCTTTCACCAGTGCTTTGAACTGAACCCTAGCATTGGGCACAACCTCTTGGGACTGGGGTTTCTCTACAAAATATGGTGGCTCTGTAACATGTAAAAAGGAAGAAAGATGATTACTCTGAGACAGGAGAATTCCAAAATTATGAATGAAAGGCCTAACACAAGACAAAGAAGGAATTCAAACCTTTGACTGTTAAGAACCCACTGCACTGGTTGCTTCCTGCCTTATTGGTCGCTTCACAAGTGTAAGAGCCACTGTCTGTGCCTTCCAGTTTATTGATTTCCAGAAATGCAGTATTATCATGGAAAGAGTATTTGTGCTTTTCACTTGCTGCTATTTCTTGGCCATCCTTGTACCACTGGATACTTATGGGATGTGAACCAGACACTATGCATTCCAGATGGACAAAAGAGCCCTTAATGCTGTCCATTTTCTTGAGCTTTTTGGTGAATTTAGGTGGTATAATGAGATCTATCCAAGACAGTAAAAAAAAAAAAAGCATGAAATTCAACCTTGATAGCAGCAGATGTAAGGTCAGGATAAAATGTATTTTATATAAAAATAATGATAAAAGAGAGACCATACACACCCAGGACATTAATGCTGGCGGAACAGCTACTGCTCCCAACGTCATTGTGAACCTCAAAAATGTATTCTCCACTATCTTTCTTTTCTGCATAAAGCACCTTTAGGACTGAGACAGTATCTGTAACACTGATCTTGTATTTTGGGCCTAACGTCAATTCCTTGCCATCTTTGAACCATTTGGCTGTAATAGGTTTTGTTCCCGAAAATTTACACTGCAAGGTTGCTGGGTCTCCCTCAGTCACATCTATTGACACAGCCTTGTCCACCACTGTAGCAGGTTCTGTTGTAAACAAGGAGATAAGGGTGTTAAGAGCATCTGTATAAACCACCAAGAAACAGTCTGAGATCACCGCAAACCCTCAGGGTAAGACCAACCTTTGACAGTCAGCAGAGCAGAACATCTCTGAATTCCTGCCTCATTTTTAGCCTGACAGAAATATTTTCCATCATGTTTCAGTTCAATAGACCTCATCAGAAGAGTGGCAACACTGTTCACAAAAGTCATTTTTATATTGTTATCTTCAATCACTTCATCATTGTCTTTCAGCCAGGACACAGTGATGGGCAAGGAGCCTTTGATAGCAGCCTGAAACACAACCGTTCCCCCTCGAAGGGAACTAATGTTTTCTATCCTTTTTACGAACTGTGGGGGCTCTGGCAGGAAGAAAATAGACATATGAGTCTGGTGCATGATAGCATGGCATGCAAGCCACACTGGGATAAAAGCACGCTAGTGGCATTTTGCACCTTGCACTAACCTTTCAGTGTAACCTCTGAACTGCAGAAGCAGCTCCCAACATCATTTGTTACTGTACACTGATACTCGCCAACATCAGAAGCATCAAACCTGAAAACGTGGAGGCTAATCAAAGATTTCTCAATGCTTATTCTGTGCTTCTTACTGCTCCGCATGGGTTTATCATCCTTCACCCAAAACACTTCAAATGGAGGTGAGCCAAGCACCTCACACTCCAAAACCACATCAGAATCCTTCAAGACTTCCATGGATTGAAACTCCTTGCTAAAATAAGGTGACTCTACAGTGCAAAAGAGAGAGTTCAGTTGTATTAGTCATACTTTCGAAGCCTATAAAACTGTACTGAGTTTAAAGAGACAAACTGCATGGCTGGATGTCACACACACCTTTGATCGTAACAACACTACTGCAAATATCTTTCCCAGCATCATTTCTGGCCTCACAAATGTATTCTCCACTGTCTTCAATCTCAGCTTCTATAACATGAAGTACCGCCAAGGATTTTGTGAAAGACATTGTATATTTGTCACTCTCTTTTAGCTCTCTATCATCTTTGAACCATGTGATTTTAATCTCGGGAGTACCAGTGACTTCGCAGGTCAGCTCAGCATATCCACCTTTCTTTACCAGATGGGTTGGTTCTAGCTTCTCCTTGAAGGCAGCAGGTTCTGTGGATTTAAGAAGAGTGTTCAGGATAAAGAAAGCAGAAAAGAGTGCTACTGCATCAATCCAGCATCTGAAAGTTTAAAAGACAGAAAGAATGCAAACCTTTTACAAACAAGTTTGCACTGCATGATACTGAACCAGCTACATTGGAGACTTTGCAGGTGTATTTTCCTGAGTCTGTTGGTTTGACTGCGTAAAGTTCCAAGTAACTTGCTAATGCTTCCGTCATGATGTAGCAGGCTCCTCCTGTCACCAGCTCAGTTTCACCTTTAAACCATTTTACCATCAGTGGTGTTGTGCCTTTAAATGTGCCTTTGAAACGTACAGTTGATGCAGGCAGTACATCTTGGGACTCTGGTTCTACAATGAAGCTAGGTGGCTCTAGATTTTGTTGAAAGGAAGCAAATATCAAGAGTGAGACACATGGCCTGCAGTAATGTATTATCAAATGAAAAAAAAAAATCCAAGAAATTTTAAATAAATTGCCAAACCTTTTATAAACAAAGTGCTACTGCTCTCTTTGCTACCAGCAGAGTTTGTGGCTCTGCAAATGTAGACCCCAGCATCACTTGCATCTAGGTGTTTTATTTCCAAAGATGCAGAGCCTTCTGCAAAGTGTACTGTGTACTTGGCACTTGAAGTGATCTCAATGTCCTGCTTAAACCAAGAGACAGTCATTGGAAGAGAGCCTGAAATTTTGCAGTCTAGGCGGCATGATGTGTTAATGATGCTGTCAATATTCTTCAGGGGTTTAGTGAAGAAGGGAGGGAGAGTGCGATCTGTTGAGAGTGAAAAATGTGAAAGAAACAAACAGATGAGAAAACCAGGCATGCCGTTGTGCTTCTGGCTCTGTTGGGCTCAGAGCCGAATAGCAGGGTTGTTTGCAAAGAGTCAGTACCAACCTAGCACTGTGAAGCCGGTAGTACAAGAGCTGGTGCCCACATCATTGGATATCTCAAAGGTGTACTCGCCACTATCCTGCAGTTCAGCAGCATAAAACTTGAGCTGAGCAATGTTATTTTTAAAGCTGATCCTGTATTTTTTGCTGGCAGGTAGTGGTCTTCCATCTTTGAACCATTTGATTTTTAGCTCTGGAGTGCCTGTAACAGTATACTCCAAAATGGCTGGTTCCCCTGCTGTTACCTGGATCATTTCAGATTTTTCAGTGATTTTGGCAGGTTCTATAACAGAATTAAACAGCTGGGGTTAAAGACAAAAGGAACTTGCTCTTCTTCTCAGGTGGGTGACAATGCAGGGATCACAGCCACTGACCTTTCACTGAGAGTTCACCAAAGCAGGACTGAGTTCCTGCCTCATTCTCAGCCACACAGGTGTACTTCCCACCAGAGCTCAGCTGGACACCGGTAATTTGCAGTGTTGCTAGACCATGTTCAAATGTCACTCTCACTTTGTTATCATCTTGAATAATGTCTTTTCCCTTCATCCACATCACAGAAATAGGCTCTGACCCTTTCACCACAGCCTGTAATGTAACACTATCTCCAGCCAGAGCTGTTACATTTTCGATTTTCTTAACAAAAGATGGTGGTTCTAGTTCAAAGAAAAGAGACAAGAAGAAATACTCATCTTCTACCACATCATCCCATGAAATCCACTGCTTAAAGACAGTTATATGAGACACTATGTGAAATACATGGTACAGTTCAGCTAAAGAGCAGGCAAGAAAAGAGCTGCATTCCCCCACTGGGGACCCCTTTAAGCTCAATTCAAACTCACAGGTTTAGCGCCAGATAAGATATGCACAGAACTTTAAGAGAAGATAACCTCCCCTCCTCACCCTCCCTAGCAAACCACAAATCCAAAGAAAAGACATTTTAAGAGATGAGAGGTTTTTGCCAATTCCTTCAGTAAGTGAAGGTTTTTCTCTCCCACTGACCTTTCAAGATGTATGTTGCACTGCATATGCACTTCCCGACTTCGTTAGCTATCACACACTCGTATTCACCGACATCAGCACTATTAAACGAGGACACCTCCAGAGAAATAACAGCTTTCTGAGAGGTCAACCTGTACTTTTTACTACTGCGAATCTGTTTCTTGTCTTTGTACCAGCTAATTTCAAATGGTGCAGTACCAGCAACCTCACACTGAAGAACGGGGTTTGTTCCCTTTACTACCTCTGCTGGTTCAAGTGTTCGGATGAAAGACGGAGGCTCTATAAAAGCAGCAAGAAAGAATTAGTCAACCATGCCAAAAATAAAAAGGAAGTTTTTTCTCAAGAATGTGGCTGGCAGCAGCAAGAAGAACAGACCTTTGACAACTACTTCGGTGGTGCAGCTGTCACTTCCAACCTCGTTTACAGCTTCACATGAGTAGCTCCCACTGTCATCAACTTTCACGTCCAAAATATCTAAGACAGCCACAGAATTGACAAAGGACATCCTATGTGTGTTGCTTTCACGGATTTCCTTATTGTTCTTGAACCAAGTAACCTGTATTTCAGGAGACCCTTTGATTTTGCATTGAAGGCGTGCAGAGTCACCTGGAGTCAGTAAATAAGACGGATCGACCTTCTTGACAAAGGATGGTGGTTCTAAAAATGGAAAGAAAAGGAAAGAAAGGGGGGGAAATGGGAAGGAAAAAGGTTGGAAATGGAAAATAAAGTAGAAAGAAAGGGAAAGGAGAGGGAAAAGAGAAAAAGGAAAGAAGGCTGAAATACAAAGGTTTGAAAGATTGATTCCTAGCACAAGAACAAAATATGACTTCAGAAAAAAATCAGCATTTTTTTGTAGTTTTTGTGGTTTCTTTTGCCACCTCTGTCCTGAATACAGGAGCAATTCTTGGATCTGGCCAGTGAAAGAAATACTGAAGCACTCCAGAGTGCACAGGGAGGCAGGAAGAGAAATGAGCAAGAGGTGAATGGACCTGACGGCAGGTCTGAGAAGAGTTCACAGTGTGATTTCTGCTGAAAGAAGCCTGCAAAAGAAGAAATAAGGAACCCAGGAAGAGAAAAGTAAAGGGGGCATAGGACTATCTTACCTCTGACTGTGACGCTGGCAGAAGAGGAGCTGCTTCCTGCCTCATTCGAGGCAGTGCACACATAATGGCCTGAATCCTTCAGCTTAGCCAAAGGAATCTCAAGTGAGGCTATTTTGTCTTCAAAGTAAATCTTATAATCTTTGCCTGGAGGAATTTTGTTTCCATCCTTTGTCCACCCTACTGTTACTTTCCTGTCTTCATCTACCTGACATTCAAGGCGTATTTTTTTATTGACTGCTGACTGCACTGACTGCAGGACTTTAATGAAGTGAGGCTTGTCTATAATGATCAATTCAGCCTGGCAAATGTCAGCCCCAAACTTGTTGGAAGCTTTGCAAGTGTAAACCCCTCTGTCACTTGTGGTGAGAAGGGAAATTTCTAGTACATGTTTGTTTTCCACTTTGGAGATCCTGTGATGGTCCGAAGGTGAAATGGTCGTGCCATCTTTCTGCCAGACGACGTCGATGACTGGAGTACCCAAAACAGTACACAGGAGCTTGGCACTTTTGCCCACAAAAGTAGTGATAGATTCAGGTCTGGTAAGAAACGTTGGTGGTAATGCTTCTGCAAAACAAAGGGGTTAAATGTTATCCAGAGGTGGGGAGCAGAGCTTATGCTCTTTCTTTACAATTGCCAGGGACAGAGAGTATGAGGGGCCAGTTAGTCACTGGACACTCTTAAACAAAAGAAGCCACCAGTGAAGGAAGTAAGAGATATTAAAGATGATGAATTTTGGCTTTTGGGTTTGTACTTCTTGGGTCTGTATATTGCTTCAGAGCTTGAAGATATTTTGGGTCTCTGGAGGAATGTACAGACTAAGAGGAAATAAACCAAAAGCTGGAACTTCCCCCCCCCTTCAAGACTGAGATGTTTGTGTACCATTCTCTCAAGATGGAGAAGTTTGCATGCATTTCACAGTTTGTGCAGCCTCTAGCATCTGGCACTTAGCAAAGAGCACATAAAGACTCCTCCCATAAAGAGAAAATTCAATGTAAAAAAGAATAATAAATCATTGTACACTAAGAGACCTAAAGGTGGTGGTTTGGATTTTTTTTAAAGGAAAAAAAAAAAAAAAAGAAAAAGAAAGAAGATAATCGTATAGCTCTCAATAGACAAAAAGATCAAACCCTGAAACAGCTTTAAACCATCTTTTAGTCTTTAAGATCTGTTTCCCCAGTTATACACATGTCCTCTCTGGCCATGGCACACAGAAGTTCAGGTATGTATAGCTGCATAGCCTGCATTGCAAGTATAGATGCAGCATAAACATACGGTGCCAAGGTAATTATACAGTTATCATACCAAAGAAATCAGATTTAAAAGTGTATGTTGTCATCCAGAAGTCATAAACTTTCTTCAAGAATGTATTCGCAAAGCAGTCCCATTCTGTTGACAATCTAGTTCCTCCCACTCTCCCTCCCCCCTTCTTTCTTGCCTTTTGAAACTTCACACTGATTCTGTTTTCTAGGTACAGAAAGCACCTAAAAGCATCATTTTCAAAAATTATTCCTTCTTTACGCTTATGCCTACCAAAATTAGGTATGGACTATGTATAACAATGTCAATCAAGAGCTCTACCATGAACAGGTGTAAGTATAGCAATGAAAGCATTACAATATGCCAAGATATTTTATAGAGAAGTGTTTGAAAGTCTGTACTTACCACTCACTGTCAAAAGGGCTGTAGAGCTTACACTGCCATGCTGGTTGGAAGCCTTACAGCTATACTCGCCACAGTCAACGACCTGGGGCCTCAGAATCTCAAGCGTGGAGAGGTAGTTGGAGGTGCGAATGGAGTACTTGTCCCCATCATATATCTCTCGGCCGGCTTTGTACCACTGGAACTTGACATTGGGCGCAGTCTCTACCTCACAGGTAAACTTGGCCACATGATTTACAGCCACCTCCACTGGTGTGAGCCTTCTCCTTAGGATTGGTGCAACTGAAATCAGAAGCAGAGAGTAACTCAAAGCTCTGCCTGTGACATTCTGGAAAGTAACAGTGAAGCGACTGACTGAAAATAAAAGAAAGGTGATTTATTTTCAATCCGCATAAAGTGACTGTAAAAGAAAAAAGTAAGAAATAAAAGTAGTACCAGGCTCAGTGGACAGACGGTGATATGGTGTGTTAATGACATCAGGAACACAGTGGTGATACTGGAAAAATCACGTGTGATAGAGATGAAAAGTAGCAAGGCAATACAAACATCTACCGCACTATCCTGGAGGTGTAAGAAACTGTGGTGCAAATGAGAAATTGTGCTGAAACTGGGCAAAGAGTGAGAGAGCGTGTGGCAGTGAGAAACAGGCAAAAATGGGAGAAGTAGTCCGGATCGAGGTACAGCTTGTCCTGACTGTGCTTGTGTCATGAGAACAGAAAGCAACAAAGCTCCTGACCAAAGACTGGGGTGAGGGAAGTGAAAGACTGCAATCTGGTAAAAGGAGACCGTAAATCCAGAGAGAGGGAGCCCTCTGATTAGCGGCATGGTGATATTAATATTGTATCTATATCTGAAGATACAGACACATAGTAGGGTAGTTTCATTAGTAGAGAAGTGTATTAGATAGACTGTATTTTATCCCCATAATCCAACCTCTTTTAACAATTGTGAGTTTTGCTGCTGTTGCTCTTTTTCCACCTTGGTTCAGCGCCTCACAGGTGTATTCTCCTTGGTGAGTATCACTGCATGCTTTGCTTATTACTAGTGTGTATGTGTCCTGATCTTGCAAACACTTGAATTTGTCACCTGAAGACACCAGTTTACCCTCAAAGTACCAGTTCACCTCCCTGACATTTGTTATGACAGACACCAAACTGACACTTTCTCCTTCTTCCACAACAGTGTCGACCAGGTTTCTATGTATGACGGGATAACTCTTTTTGATCTGTAGTTTCCCAGCTTTAGCTTCCAGAACTTTCCTGCTCTCTTCCTCACATATTTCTTCCCCTTTCTCTTTCCGTTTCAATATTTCTGTGGGTGTCTCAGTGGGAACACCTGCAGAGGCTACATCAGCAGTGGCTGCAGCTGCACCCACATCCTTGATTTGACTATGCCCAGTCACAGTGTTGATTACTTGTGCAGACAAAGGCTGCTCCAGGGGTATTTCTGCCTCCATAGTTCTCTCAGCCTGCTGGGACTTCAGCTCAGAGGTTTCATCACAGGATTTTCCTTCTTTGACAAGATTGACAATGCGTTCCTCCTCCAGGGGATGTTTTTCTTCTAGCAGTAAGGGAAATCTCACAGCCTGTCCCTCGTGGATTCTTGCAGCAAAGTCTGCCTCTGCTGCTTCCAGGGAAGAAACAGTCTCCAGAGGAACAGCTTGGCCCCCAGTGAAGGCCAGTTCAGAGGCAAGTCTAGGTTCAGCCTTCAGCTCACCTTGCGCTGCCTGGAAGCCCTCGAGGACCTGCATATGGTCACCATCTATGGCACGGCTCTCAGTGGTGCTTGAAACCTGTAGAAGGGCTTGGGAAGCCTCTGTCTTCAGAGCAGCCGTTTGCTCTGCTGTCTCAGGGATGACCTGCTCTTTGGGCAAGAGTATCTGTGTGGCTACAGTCCCAAGGCAGCCTGGCAGTCGTGTTTCCATTGCTGCCGCAGGCACCACACCCTGGGGGCCAGCAGGGAAGGTTTCCAGGGGCTCTGCCAAAAGCTTGCCACTCTCTTGTGTTGTGGCTGCCTGGGTGAGCATCTCTTCAACACTCTGTGCAGCCAAGCAGGCTGGTGGCAGGCTGGGCAAGATGTCCTCCCTGGGCAGCACATGCTCCTCCTGGCTCATCTGGAGCTGAAGGAGGGCCAGGGGCTCTTTCATGGCCTCAAGTCTCAGTGCTCCTTCTGCAGCAGGAAGTTCACCAGCCTCCTCATATGACAGGAGACTCTGGTCTTCTGCCACTGCAGAATGCTGCAAGGCTGGGCTTTGCCTGTGAACAGCACGCTCCTCAGGCAGCACAAGGAGCTCAGCAGAGCATGTGGCCTCGCCCAGGGCACTCACTGCCTTGCACGTGTAAAGCCCAGTGTCCTCCTCCATGCACTCCTGCACTGTCAGGGAGCCTGACCCATCAGGATAGTGAGCAACAGAGTGATGTGCATCAGAGAAAAGCTGTTCACTTCCCTTGAACCACAGCACATCAGGGCATGGGTCCCCAGCCACAGTGTACTCAAAGACTGCGGTGAATCCTGGTGCACACCGTATGCTCTCTGGCTTCCTGGCAAAGCAAGGGACGCCTGGTATCCGCTGGTGCACATGGAGGTGGGCGCTGCATGTGGTCTCACCGTGTACATTGCTGGCCACACATGTGTACTCACCCTCATCCTGCACACCCGCATATGGGAGGATGAGGCTGTGATCGTTGCCAGCAAACACTAACTTACAGTCTGTAGATGAGGTTAACTTCATACTGTTGAAAAACCACTGGACTTTGGGTGTGGGACTGCCAGTAACAGTAACAGAGAGCCTAGCTACATCTCCCTGCCAGACTTCAACATTTGAGACCTGCTTTAGGAAAACAGGGGCTTGGCCCCCCTCCATTTTCATCTTTGCTTTGCTGGAATAAACTGGTTTTTCAGGCTCAAATTCAAGTGTTTTTTCTTTATCAGGCAACTGAAGGCCACTGCTGTAGCCTTCACTTCTTCCTTCCTCAGAAGACACAGGAAGAGAGCTAGAGAAGTCTGTATGGAAAAAAAAATTGTTTAGTTTTACTAGGATGTTTAAGAAAACACAACTAGATAGCAATAAACAGCAGTTAACCATGAACATGAGGTCCTGTCAAATACACACCTGCCAAAACCAGCGAGACATGCTGTGCTGTCAGGTTACTTATGAGCTTCCTATTTGGGTCAACATCGATGTCTCTTTAAAAACCTGACATCACAGTATGGTTTAGGAATTCCCCCAAGGTGTACAGTGCAAGTAACAGCCAAGCAAGATTACTCTATTTCACAAATATCATTAAAGTAGTATATGCCATACATATTTGTATGTATGCTGATACATGCAAGTACAGCAGAGCAATGCTAAGACTCTGGTTTAATTCAAAGCCTGCAAAGAAAAAGCAGAATTACAGGATTGGAAAAATAACACAAAATTTTCAGCACACCAATCCTTCTTCTAGCGCAGCTCATTCATCTCTTTCAACTCTGTCTAATACACTAAGATATTACCTGTCCCTACTTTGTCCTAGTTTTGTCATTAGATACTTATGCTTAGAACATCATTATTACTAAAACTGCAAGTTTGCACCCTTGATTTGACGTCACTCATTCAAATCTCTGGTTTTAAATTCCTCCTTGTCGTAATGCTGAATATTAGAACTTCCACAATAGCAGAGAAAAAGAAGACAGAACACTTTAAGGTTTTTCTTTTCCTTGCCTCTGTGAATTTAGACATTTTTGTGTTGGACAACTTTGTCATAATAGTGGTTTAAAAATGAGAGGAAACAGACATCAAGATCATGTCATTCTCTGCAGATACTTGACACTAGAAACATCAGTGAAATCTGAGGCTTCCAGGAAAAGAATAGGGCATCCGTGAAAACCACAGCACAGAAAAATACCTTTGGAAATCAAATCCTATTATCCTCACTGAGTGAAATTATCTCAGACAAGGCCCACAGAATTTGACACTGTGAAGATATGAGACTTGTTAAATAAGAACAGAAGAAATGTGAGTGGATAAATGTCCCCAGGTGAAACTTGATAAGTTTCTCAATTACAGTGCCTTAAGTTGCAAAACTTATTGTGAGACAATAATTTTTGCTGCATTCCAATAGCAACTGGAAAGAAGAATAGAATATGCCTTACCCAGTTCTTTCTCATGGCTTTTATCAATGACTAATCTTGCCACAGATACCATAATAAACACTACATAGCACCATGCATACAGTGATTTACTGCAGAGAAGAGATGCTTAGGTAAAAAAAAAAATAAAAAATTAAAGAATTATACTAATCCTTCAGTATTTACCTACCAGCTTTGTTAAAAGAGTAGGGCAGCTTCCCAAGAAATACAATGTGCGAGTGAATCTGAGAATGGGTGGCCATAATAAAGTATAATAATTGCAGAATGAAACCTATGTTAACACCCATGCGAATGCATTATATACAACAGTTTGCCAAAAATTAGTGCACTTTTTTGTGTTCCTGAATATTTATGCCAGAAAAAGTATACAGATTCTTTTTCGTATTTTAGCTGTGTCTATGAAATGAATAAAGTACAAGAAGCAACAGACTTAAATCATTTACATATTTATTTCACAAATTAACCATACATGTTAACATTCAGTACACATTGATAACAAACATAATTCATCCTTTTCTTTAATTACTAGGTTTGTAGAAATGAAGACAACATTAAACCTGACAAATTGTGAGTTTTATAATTCCTGTGGAAGCACAAGAGAAATGGTCAATCATGGCTCTAAAGTCTTCCAGTTGTCCCAGGGTAAGTTTATCCAAAACTAGAATTACTCCAGATTTATATCACTGTAGCTTAGGTGACACTTTGTTTCTCCATAAGCACATTATAGTGCTCCTGGCTAATGTATGAAACTTAAAATAAGACTTTAAACTTAGATAAACCACAAACACTACTATGCAGGTAGAGATAAAAATGGTTTGCCATATATTTCAGCCGTGAATATGAACTTGGACCTGTTTGGCTTAGGGCTCAAAACAAAATTATGGACCTGTTTCTAATAAAAATTACATTTCATTTACATGCAAATTAAACACACTTGCTTAGGACCTAATCAAAGACCTGATTTGGCTCTGGACATAAAAGACTCCTCATGTCACAGCTGGCATAACATCAGACAATTCATGCCAGCTTCCCTAGGGACATCTGCTGTCTAATATATCAGTGCTTCACATCTACACAAGGAATGAATTAAGGACATATCATGAGGCAATTTTTTCCCAGCATTATGATGGATCAGACACTCATGCTTCTCTTTCCTACCACCATTACCTATAAGAAATCACAGTTATCTCTGCTTTCTAACAGTGTACAGATCTTAAATATTTATCATTGGGTATTGACTGGCAAGAAACAGAAGTGACAGACTGGTATTAGACCGACCGCTCCAGTAATTTTTCCTACATCCTGAGTCATTGGAACTTGCCACTCTTGAGTTTAAGTTTATACTGGGAAACACATTTTGGCAAAGTGACTCTTTGCTATGCCAGGTGAATGACAGGATAGTCTTAAAAGATTACTGAGTTTTTGAGACATGCTGACCTCTGTGTGAGGACTCATCAAACTCAGAAATAAGAACATGCAAGAACATTACTGAATGTACTATAGGAATAGTTCTTTTATACTTGCTCCTTCTTTCATAAATCACTACGCTCCTTAAAGGACTTTGCAAGGCAACTGATTGACAGCAACTTGTTTATAAAGTTTTTCTAGGTATTTACAAGTAATCAAATTAAAAATATTTTTTGCTTAGGGTTGCTGAACTCAAGGTCTCACCTTGGCATATAGGTAACTGGAAAGATGGCACATACATTAGTTACTTAACTTCCGATAAGCATTAATAACTTTAGTACTTTTAACATATTTTTCTTAATCGCTGTAATATGATAGATTTAGTTCTGACTTATTATGTCAGCTACTGCTGATTCCTCTTCCTACATATTAGCATTATTTAAATATGAAAATATATACTCATATTGAGAACATTAATATAAAAACCTCTTCTGCTGAGAAAATGCCACAGATAGGTAACAATTGAATGTGTTCTACTTGTTTCTGGTCATCTTGACACATAGCACACTTAACTGTTACTAATTAAAAAAGAAAAAAAAAGAAAAAAGGAGTAGGTAGAAATTCCATTCAAATGTGAAACAAGAACATTGCATAAAAATCTCTCACTTTTTTACTACTATATATTTTTTATGAATGACACTGGAATATGGGGACAACTAAAGTTATTTTAATTCATTTACAGCTAAATCATCGATTTATTATGCTCCCTCTCCTTTCCCCTTAACTTCTACAGATACAGTACAAAATATGTTTTCATGTTTATTACTTGGTAATAGAGAAAAAAATCCTGTCCAGTCTCTACTAATGCAAAATTTTCATTTTCTTCCCACTGTGTTGCTTTTCTTTGCAACAGCATAATTCCATTGACTTTAAAAAAAAAGTCATTTAGTTCTATGAGTCAGTAGTATGTGACCCACAAATGTAAGAATATTGCAGTGATAGAAACTGTAAACACAGGATTTGACTCAGCGAGACTCACATGTTCTGAGACAACATTGTGAGAAGGGGGAATACCAGTTTAAGGAGTTCTTTCACAAAACTATGTCCAAACTAAAGAGCAAGCATAAGTTAGTATTCCGTACCTTTAGGTTCCAAGAAAAAAGTGATTTCTACATTTTCAGGGGATTTCTAGCCTGCCTAAACCAGCAATGACTGTTACAGACACACAGGATTATGTACACTATACGAAAAATTTCAGTCATATATAAATGAGTGTCAATTACAATATCTTTACAAGAATAAGGAGCTTTGAAGGAGCCTGAAATACACCTTGGTGCAGAGAGTGTGCACAAAAATTCTGCACACATTAAATCTCACTTAAATTCCCCAAAAAGCAAGTTTAAGTGAGACAAAAATATGCCCACATAGAGTGGTTTTCATCCCTAAAGAGATGAAAAACAATGCCCCTAATATGAGTGCTGCATTTTTACCAGCAGTGACCAACAACATAAAAACATCTAGTGTTTAGAAAGAAAGAGACTCAAATAAATAATGGGAATTCAGTATAATGTTAACACAGCACAGGTCTCTGCCATTCCTGTCCTGTTAGTAGCTACACATTTGTACTGCCCACTGTCACTTTGCATCAAGTTTTCAATAGTAAGGCTATGAGAGCCCCCCTCCTCTTCTTTCACACAGTACCTGTCCCCTTTCAATAACACCCCATCCTTGTACCAGCGGACAGTTGGGTGGGGAAAACCAGTCACAAGACACTGGAAGCATGCTGAGGCACCTACAAATGTACTGTAGTCAGAAATAAGCTTCAGAAATGTGGGAGCAGCTTCTGTGACCTGGAACTCAAAGCTGCAGCTCTCAGAGTCCTCTGCCCTAAACTCAACCCGTTCCTCTTGGGAAAGCTCTGCAAATACATCAGAACTAACGCTGACACACTTCTCCCCTTCCACTTCTTGCTCTTGTTGAGCCACTGCAAGCAGTTGGATTGCTTTTTCTGAGTCATCTCTGTGCTGCTCAAACTCAGATTCCAGCTCTGTTTCTGACTGGTCACCTGGACTCACCATTCTACACAAAGGCAAGTCAGACTTACAGGACCTGTGTCGTTCACTGCCTGAGATTGTCTTATTGCTCACATTGGCACTTGCTCCCTTCTGAGCCATGACTATGAGGGAGCCTTTGCACATCGCTTCTCCCAGCCTATTCATTGCCCGACAGTGATAACAGCCACCATCAGAAGGACCTACTTTTTGGACCTTCAGACTGTGAAGTCCGTCCTTCTCACTCACAACATACTTCCCTGTCATAGGTTTCACACAGACATCACCTCTGAACCACTGCACTAGTGGGACAGGAGTACCTGTTACCACGCACTCAAACACTGCCTCCAAGCCTTCTGTCACCTTGACATCTGAAAAGGGCACAGCAAATCGGGGAGGCATTTCAGTAACTTG